CTTTGTGTTGCTTCTTCATGACCTTTAACCATCAAATGTTCTTTTTTTCAGATGAAGTCCATTTATTGTCTATATGCCATTATGCTAGCAGTTGCTACAATTTCAGAAGTTTACAGTGGAAAGTGTGAATTTATGTGCTTACGGAAAGCTATCAGATGTAAACGACAAAAGAAAGATTATTGCTGCGAAGAGTTCAAAAAGTGTGGACTTGAGAAATGTGGGGAGCCAGACTTAAGGTAACGGAACATTTATTATACTTTTAAATCACATGTTTAAGCGAAAACTTTCATCAGGCACGTTCCATCAAAAAAGATAAAATGTTAAGAAAAGAAAAAAATACCAAAAGGCATAGAAAATAAAAACCAGGATATCTTTAAAACTAGTCCGAGATTACTCTGTCCTACGGTCACAACAAGTCCTAAAGAAGGGAAAAAATGAAAAAAATAGTCGGACCAAGCAAAACTAAGACACTCGCACGTGAAACGAAGGCACTCGCACGTGCAGAATGATTTTTCCAAAACTGAAAATAAATATACTTCAAAATTTGACAATTTGAAAATTAAAATAACACTTGAAAATGTATCTGAAGCGCTTTTCTGGGTAAAGCTTTATCAGGAACCCTCAAACCCAAAAATATATGAGGAGCTATATAACCAAAAAGTGACCTAAAATAGCCCAAATCCAGCTAAACTCAACTTTGCCTAATAATTATCTTTTTTCATTATTTTACCCAAGCCTCCCATATCTGTTTTCGAATTCTTAATAGTAAAAAAGGCTTTTGTTTTATATTTTTTTTTATCTAAATAAGTATTTAAAGCGTAGTTTAAAAGTAGGAACACTATGTAATAATCCATAATTCCAAATTCCTTAACACATTTAACAAAACCAAAAGATTAGTTATTGGTGTTTAACGACACTTTCAGCACTGTGTCTAATATCGTGGGGCCAGTATTTTTGTTGGTGGAGGAAACCGGAGTGCCCGGAGAAAACCACAGACCTTCAACAGGAAATTTGGCAATCCTAGTCAATTAAGATCAGAGTCTAACGCACCTGCCATGTGTGGGCTTCGAATTCACAACATCAATGTTGACAAGCTATGGACTTCTTATTTCATTCGGCCAACGAGGCTCTTTCAAAACAAAAGAAAAGGAACAGCACTTTTCGAAACAATTCATTTCTTGGTAGAAATATCTATACGATTACAATTATTAAGAAATTAGTTACAAAGTACTTTATACTGAGTAAAAAAAAACAACAAATGGTTATATAATTTTATGCAATGGGAGAAAAATGCGTATTATTTTATGAAAAATTATTATATAAAAAGTGGGTCTGGATGGAGGTACAGCATTTCTTTAATTAAAAAAAAAACATTTCTTTCTATTCTTCTTATTTTAGCACCCGATTAGATCTATTGTTTAGTTTTTTTTTGTCTATTTTTATCTATTCTTTATATTTTTTACCAATTTTCTGTACTGTTGGTCCATTATTCTTTATTTTATAAACCCGATCAAGACCCTCATATATGTTCTCTTGGGCTTTCGTTACAGTCGTATTATTGAATCATTTTTTTAATCGAACTTGATAGAATATATGACACGTTAAGGTCAAACAATTACGCGCAATATGTTCTCTTTTACCGAACTGCTTGGGTTGTCTCTGGTAGCGTGTTCGAGTACGCGAGATAGTAGGTTCGTTCTCTGACCTGGTGAAACCAAATATTGGTATTTCAGCTTCTTCAGTAAGGACGTATCACTTTGGATTAAGAGCAAATACTGGTCAGCTCGATTACGTGTCTGGGACTGGTGACATTCCTTCAAATCGATTGTTACCTTGTGAACTAGCACATGGAAAATCTAGCTCAGCGTGTCTATCCAGTACAAAGAAAGATGGCTTGGTTCATAATTGTGTAACATCGACGTCCGGATATGCATGGAATATTTTTCACTGGACATTAGATACCAATTCATCTATCTATATTTCTAATCGGAAGGACAAGTGGCGAAAAATACAATCGCACACGCTGATATGTGCAATAACTTGATAGATAAAATTCATTGAAATATCAGTAAACATATTATGATTATATATATTATATATATTATATGATTATATATATTATATCGTTATACATATTATATCATTATACATGTCATATTATCACACATATTATATTATTATACATATCATATTATTATACATATTATATGGTTTCACTGTAGATGTGCAGATAAAAGAGGAAGCTGGAACAAAAGATATTACAATGATTTCGAATTATCCCAAGAAGAAGATGATGATATGTCATTGCCTTACTTTTAAAACATCAACACTTGTGCAGCACAAAAATACATGGTTATCATCATCATTCCCATTTAAAATTTAGAACTTCAAAAATCATCTTATCAGCATTTCAATTGATATTTTTTAACGAAATATTTAACATATATTGGAGTGGACACAACAATTGGGATGTGGATGCTTTTGCTATTATATAATATATATAACGTGCTTAAATTTTAAGGTGGATCATTAAAAACTATCGAATTTCAATTACTTTATAGCCAATTATATGATATGAAAGCGTAAAATGTTAAACATGGAATTTTGCTAGAAAAATAAAAATGGTTAGGAAAATATATTCTATGTTGTAGTATATTTATGAGGGTGTTATGTATGGGTTTTACAGAATTAAGAATAATGGGCAACACACACATATTGTTAGAAAAATGTACTGAATATATGCAGTGTTCGCTGTTTTTTTTTAACAAAGACACCTTTAGAGAGACGAACAAGCAATGATAATTTTCGTGTTTTTCCAATTTTAGCAAATTAAATTTTACCGCAAAATTTAACATAGTTACGCTAACAATTGAGCTGCATCGTATGGAATTCGATATTATGCAAACAAATATTAATACACCTGTAATCCTATGCCGGGTTGTAAAAATCTCTATGCAAAGAAGAGAAAAATTGTAGAAGTCGGAAAGAAGACACATGTATTTACAGGCTAACAAATACCAAACTCGATAAAAGTTAGACAAACACGACAAGGAAATAAAGTACAAACAGACCACAAAATCACACATAAAATTCTGAGAAACAACAGCATAATAAAAAAAAGAAAAAAAAACAGGCTTAGATTGAGTTTAGCCATTTAAATTGATATTTTATAGTGTGTATTTCTATGTTGTGATGTTACACTATTGTTTCAGATAAGGGTGAAGATTGGTACATATCAAAACGTTTAAACCAGCTGCAATTGTTTGCACCTGTCCTAAGTCAGGAATGTGATGTTCAATAGTTGTTGTGTGTTGATGTGGTTCATAAGTGTTTCTCGTTTCTTGTTTTGTTTATATTTTCCCGTTTAAATGGTTTTACACTAGTAATTGTTGGGACCCTTTATAGCTTGCTGTTTGGTGTGAGCCAAGGCGCCGTGTTGAAGACCGTACTTTGATCTATAATGGTTTACTTTTATAAATTGTGACTTGGATGGAGAGTTGTCTCAATAGCACTCATACCACATCTTCTTATATCTATTTGTATTTCCTGTGCCACAAGTTCCACCCGTCGTGTTGCTAATTGCATGGCAGATGCAAATTTGGCGATAAGAATATTCTGTGACTTCATAAACACTGGAGGCAGAACGTGAGTGTGTATTCGAATATTAAACAGAAAATAATAAAATACTGATTATCCGAAGTCACTTGACACGGCCCCAACATTGAAATGGAATACGGGAAAAAAAAACATGAAAAAAGAAGGTTTAAGTCCCATGACATCCAACAAGGTTTTTATTTCTTACTTTCTGTATTTCTGTAATTTATTTTTTATTTTTCTGTCTTCTTTACATTTTTGGTCAAGTATTCTCTTTTTTTAGCTCCCTATTTTTCTCTATTCTGTAATTTTGGGGTATGCTTTAATTTTGGGGTATTCTGTAATTTTGGGGTATTCTTTAATTTTGGGGTATTCTGTAATTTTGGGGTATTCTGTAATTTTGGAGTATTCTGTAATTTTGGAGAATTCTTTAATTTTGGGGTATTCTGTAATTTTGGGGTATTCTTTAATTTTGGGGTATTCTGTAATTTTGGGGTATTCTGTAATTTTGGGGTATTCTGTAATTTTGGAGTATTCTGTAATTTTGGGGTATTCTGTAATTTTGGGGTATTCTGTAATGTTGGGGCTATTTTATCTGCACTGTTTGACTAATATTCTCTGTTCTATAAACCTCATTCAAATTTGTAATTAGTCTCCAAAATGATAAAGGTCAAAGGAACAAAGAAAAACCGTCATTCTAGGTCATATTTTTCTATACTTTAGTTATTGCACATTTTTAACTATTCAATATATTTTGGCTTCTTAATATTTTGTCTTTATTTTTTGTCTATTGTTTTCTTTTTTCATTCTTTTGTTGATTATTTTTTTGTTTGTCCTGTAAACCCCTCCCATCAATACAATTCGACGGGCTACTTATTCTTAAAAGGATACAATTATCTTTTCGGAGCACCTTAATCATGTTAATATAATCCAAACTTTTGATTACTCTATGTTTTGCTACAGTACGTTTGTTGGTACACTTGTATAGTTGCCTTGAATTTTTCTCCCGTTTGAGGATCTCTATTTTTCATGCAACCATTTAGTGGCTTTCATCTGTTGTCAACTAAGGACACCATTGGATCATGACTTGGGACTCCATAGAAATTAATTAGTAAATAACGAATAATGAATATACATTGATAAAAAAGAACTTCACACTTTGTATGAAAATAAGGTTGACAAACCGTTTCTCTATATTTATTGCTTTGTTTAATTTTATTAGACTATAATATAAACAAGGAATTGCATTTTATACAAGTTATTGAGCATATACAGTAAAACATTCTTATAGTGACTAGATAAATGCATTAGACATGTTTTAAGGTGGTTCCAAACACACTGACTAAAATTAATTTGTGAACCTTTGACAAAAATATAAAAATTTCGAAAAATCTTGAACCACACACTTTATTGGAATATCTTATTGGAAATATAGCAGTTTGACAAGCACTAATCTTGATCATTGAGAAGTTTAATATTTCCTTAACAAAAGAACATGATTAAAACGTTCAGCTGATTTTTACAGATTATCTCCCTGTAGTGTTGTGTACCATCTTGATTATTTAAGCAATATGATAGATGTTAGAAGTAGTCATGTGACTTAGAAGTACACAATGAAAGTTTAAATATGATCACAGAGATTCACATAACAAAGCTCTAGCAGTTTAATCTCCCCCACATCCTCCTCCGCATCCACCGCCATCACCTCCAAAATCACCACCACCGCCGTCATTTCCAGCATAGTTATCAGCATAACCGCCATCTTCATTACCGGCAAAACCACCGCCGTCACCACCGCCATAATCACCAGCATAGCCTCCGCCATCCCCAGCAGTAAAACTATCGTTGTAACCACCGCCATATTCATCAGCATAACCACCGCCAAAGTCATCAGTGTAACCCTCACCATCACCACCATAAAAACCACCGTCGTCACCACCAAAATCACCAGCTTCAAATTCACCAACATCACTGTCAGCATACCCATAATCCATGTTGTCACCGAAGTCATAGTCAGCGTAATCTATATCCACGGTGCCACCTTCATCCCAACCTCCCCAGTAACCACTGTAGGGATTTGGTCCCCATCCCCATCCCCAACCCCAGCCCATACCTGGTCCAAAACCACCAAGGCCATATCCTATTGCTGCTCCGACAAGCATTCCTAAAAAAGGAACAATACGCTTAATGCATGTATTACATATATATATATATATATGTTTATATATAATACAAAATTTTAAAGTTGAGAAACTATTGTCTTATGGATGTTTATCTTTGTAAGAAAATCATACTAGTTTTCGTCATAACTTAGTTGTTATATTCAAACATATAGTGGACATTGTTTATTACTTAATAGATCATGTATGATGAATTCAGGACAAACAATATCCAAAGTCTGGCACCTCGTCAGTAGTTGTCATGTGTTTAAGGTAGATTCATGGTATACCGCCATCTTGAATTGTACAATCCCAGTACAAAATCGGTCTAGTTATTTGCCCAAATCTGCAAATTTGGAGACAGATTTGCAATTTATTGGTTACTCTGTTTATTTATATAAAGAAAACTTGGTGATTTATTGTATACATGTAACTCAAAATATTTAAACAAATATCAAATTTTGTGTTTTTAGAATGAACTTTTTCAAATAAGCCATTTAAGGGGAGATAACTATTTTAGTAAAAATATATACTGGTCTGATAGGGAAATTTTAAATTTTTACTTGTAGCAAGAAAACAAGCTCGGTAACACAATTTTTTCTTTTTATATTCTTAAAACATATTATAAAACCTATCTTCTCACAATTTATTTCAAAATTCTATCTCATAGATTTTTTTTTATGCACACAAATGTGTTTTTTCATGAACAATCTAACCAAATTTAGGAAATTTTCAACGACTCATAGCTTGGAAGATAACACGGTGACCTATACTTTTTATTATTTTTTTGAAAAAAGCATAGTAAAATCTTCATTTTGGCAAAGTATAAGAAAATTCTATCTCAAGAAATATATACTTTGATCTACTTAATATTTTTTGATGTGATGCCAGATCTTCGAGTGATTCTGTTAAATTAGGCAAAACTGTTTTAGCCCCGAGACGATGAACAGCATGAATACTTTATTGACACCTTATTTTTTATCTCTAGAAGTCTTCGAAATATTAGTGTAGATCTCTTTTTGTCTCAGGGACTAGACTTCAAATTTTGTTGGATATTTTTTTGCAAGGATTTTATTGGTAGAGGAAAAGGTTACGGATTTGAATTTCATGCCATTAATTATTATGTTACCTGTGGCCAAGTTTGTACCACCTCCTCCGGATGTATTATATGTATGTACAATCAGAGGGGCGGTTTCATTTGGAGGATGGTCTGAAATAAACAAATTAATAGTGTTTGGGATACGCAGCTCAAAAGTATGACTTTTTTCATAAGAGGGACTGTCTCATTTAGTGATTGGTTCTGAAATAAGATATGAGATATATATGCAGCTCAAAAGTTAGAGGTTGTTTGAAATTATGAATCTTCCTCATACAAGAAAGATTTCAATGTCTTTGGGTCAACTTAACACCACAATGCGCTGCGGAAATAACAGCAAAGAGAGATAACATCATGGGAAAGTTTAAAAGATATTTCTTTCTCATAAAACATATTATTATGTTGGTCTGGATGGGAAGTCCTTAAATACTGTATTTTATGCAAATTTAAGGCATTTTTCTTTATCTTGTAAAATGACGTTTATCATGAAGTTTCTCAAGAAATTGATTTTACACTTACATTTTTTTGATATTTTAATGATTCCATTATTCTGTACAGTATTAATCACAAAAATCAGTATTGTACCACAGAATTCTATTATTCTCCACGTTTTTTTTTTCATTCTTTAGCTACCTTTTTTTCGCTAATCTTTGTTTTATTCTTTACTAGAACACACCCGCGAAATCGCGGGCATTTAGAGCGTGTTCGAAAGTATGTAAACTGTTGTAGGATGAATTTTTGTAAAATATTTTATGACTGGAGAATTTCAGGAAAGGTATCAAAAGTCAAAGGTACTTGGTGGGCAGGACAATTTTTTTTAGCCCTCCCCTTTTTTTCATCAAAGTCCGTTATTTTTTGTTTACTAGCAATTCCAAGTTTACTATCCACGGCGGTCACTGATATATTATATAGCGACCGCCGTGGACAGTAAACTTGGAATTAGCCTCTATATAATATATCAGTGACCGCCGAGGATAATGAAGTTGGAATTGATAGTAAATAGCAAATACACTTTATGTATAGTATATGTATGATCATAGTATACAGAAAAACGCGAAAATAATTGTCCTGTCCCCAAGTACTTATGAAAATTATATGTAATTCTAAAACAGTCCTAAACGGAAGTCTTGTATATGACTTAAAAGTCTGTCCGATGACGGAAACAATATCCGCACGCCTTTACTTTCATTTTCCTCCCAAAATAACCCAAACTGAATAATCATATGCGAGGATGACAAATGCGACAGCGACAATGCATGGTACTTACAGGACACAGAGGCATGATGATTAATTTGTTGTGGAAGGAAGAGAAGCGACACACAAAATGAGGTCTTCTTATATAATAGTATAGATTCTTTTTTCTCTATTCTTTGCCCCCATTATTCTCTTTTTGTAAACCCAATCCTGACCTTCTTTTATACCTCAGATCTTCTTTTAATGTATTCATATAATGATTCAAAACGACTCTTGCCATGTGTCTTGGGTATATTTTATTGTGGAATTTAGTAGCTATATTTATAGAAATACCAGAATGGTTTCAGTTGCTGTTTAGATCTTACTCGATAGAAATTCACGAAAACCACACATTTCAACATACAGCTGCAATTAAGCAATCACCGTTTTCTTCTACTGTACAAAATGACTTGACTTAGCACCATCTAACAAAAAAAAAAAAATGTTTTCCCAAAGAAAAAAATAATTATGCCGGCTTCTTTGTTCGTATCCTAATTGAAAGAGATCACGTCATTGGCTGAGCTTCCGATGCTTGCAAGAGACTTCGTTAACCAATCACTCTAACGTTCTGTTGTATGGTTTTGAAGTTTCAATGCTACTAAGGATGCTTAAGACTATCAAATAGCGAATATGTTAACATAAATAAATTTTAAAGGTAAACTATTATACGAGATTATACGTGTGCAAATCATTTTTAAATATCCTGACACAAATAAATCATTTAAACAATACTAAATCTCTAGATGTAAATGTTATGGTTTGTTGTACTTACAATTCGTGACATTGTATGACGGAACTGGTGCACTCGGTTGTGCATTGTTGTTTGTCGGATAAGGACGTTCCGGTCTAGGAGGAGGTGGAGGTAGCTATAAAAAAACAGAACATTAAACTTCACATATTTTTACTTCAAAATATTTTCAAATTAATCCTTTTAAAACATTTTACCAGATAAGTGTTTATAAAAAAGAAGATGTGGTATTATTGACAATGAGACAACTCTCCACAAGAGACCAAATGACACAGAAATTAACAACTATAGGTCACCATACGGCCTTCAACAATAAGCAAAGCCCATACCGCAAAGTCAGCTATGCAATGACCCGAAATGACAAATGTTAAACAATTCAAACGAGAAAACTAACAGCCTAATTTATGTACAAAAAAATGAACGAAAAACAATTATGTAACACATCAACAAACGACAACCACTGAATTACAGGCTCCTGACTTGGGACAGGCACATACATACAGAATGTGGCGGGGTTAAAAGTGTTTGTCAATTTGTTGGTTTGTCAGCTGTCGGTACGTATAATGGAGAAGTTGCATGTTTTACTGAAATTATGCCTTTGTTTTCAAAAGAAAAAAAAAAATGAATTGATCAATGAAAAAATAAAAAAAAATAAAAAAAACATGAACAACAGGACTACAAGAAAAAAAAGAACTACGGACAATTTTTTACATACTTCATAATAAAATAATTGTAAATGTGATTTACACCATTTATTTTATACATTAAAATAATGATCAGTACATATAGTTTTACTTACAGTTACTTTAATAGCTTCCAACCAGGCTCTGTAAATAAATATGCAAAGGTCAGATGTATGCACTGATACTTTCAAATTTTTAAATACGAAGCATTATTTTTATATATTGATGTATTACGGTCAAACTCTGATTGATCGATTGATCGATTGTGTTTAACGCCACCTTCAGCACACTCAGCTATATCATGACGATCAGTTTTGTTGATGAAAAAGTCTGGATACTCAGAGAGATCCTCGCATAACCTAAGGAACTTGTCCAAACAATGTTTAAGAATTTGTAACTAGTTGGCTTTTGAATTTTACTCCTTAACCCATAGCAGCAACGAAAATTTGCTCTTACACAAACAAAGATTTAAAATGACAGACCACTTGATAGCCAAAAGAACTAGAATATCAGATCATAATTGATATCAAGACTTCGATTCCTCGATTAACTTTGGTGTTCCTAGGCAAACTTCTGACGCATTTTTATTTCAACTGTTCGAAAGTCTACATTTGCATCTCAATAGTAATGCTAATATATTCTTAGCCTATGTATTATATTTCACCAAAATTCTCATAGAAGGGATACCCCAAAAAAAGCTTTGAACTTTGACCTAAGTCATTTTTACTCACTTCATTTCCTCATCTCCTCCATCAAATAAAATCCAGTTCATGTCAATGTTTTCTTTTCTGGTTCCCCTCTTGAATATATTAGGTATTCCCATCAGATGAATAACCTGTCTGCCTTCCGGAAGTTTAGGAAATTTACTGGTATGAAGGCACATTGGACCAACCGCCATAAAATTAGCAACCATCTAGAATGGAGATAAATACATATATTCCTCCAACTATTATGGAAATACTTAAATTCATAAGATAAGAAAGCTCAACAAAAGGGTTGTATTTCTCGTAATTTATTATACGCCATACCATACTGTTATTATCACCAAATTTAAAAAGAATGGACAATCACATGACTAAAAGCGAAACATAAAAACATTTTTACCTTCCGCTTGAACATGCTTTTCAAATAAAAATGTGCCATCTTGTATTTGCATGTTCAAAGTACAAATGTAGTTGTCAGGTTTGGTTGCATCTCTGTCCAGGCTTTAATTGTTTACATGTCAACTTCTTGTTGTGACAACAATATACATGAGACGTGGTTTAACATGACTAGACGGAATCTCACTTGAATGCATGTGAAACGTTGATATGCATTTACAATTACAGATATATACTACATGTAGTAGATCAAATATTTTTACCGAAAAGCAAGATTAAGCATTTGCCTGTTTCTAGATTTACCTTTAATTTGATGCCTCCCTTGTGGTGGTAACTATTGTGGTCTTTATACCATAATAAACTACTGTCCTCAAATAACACAAAGAATCGCGAGTTCCATCCGTCACACAAACACCCTCCTTTAAAATAACATAAAAAGGGATTCAGAGCAATGACTTTTAAGAATTGATCTGGAATTTCGTCTATAGCATGCATATATACTTCTAATGCAAATAAAGACTTAAAAGTAAGATTGAAGGGAGAAAATATTAAAAATTTATTAGTAGTTTTATTCATAACATGTATATCCTCCCTATAAATACAAAGAGAGGACATACATCTAAGCTTAAATGGCAACATCTATCAACAATTTATCGAAAGTTGCGTGTATTACATATACATGATCGGACTTTTAACAAAGAAAAATACGGTTTTAGAGCAATGCATGTTTACAACATATACCATTGTGTCGTTATTTTCCTTTCCTATGGTGTTTCCCCAATATATCTTAATTTTCATAACTTCATAACGCATACTTTCCCAAATCTCTGTGCATATTTACTGCCCCATCACACTCTACTGTGTTTAGTGGTGTGTTACCTAAACCTAGTACAGAACGCAAAGTGTTTACTAAAGAATATCAATTCGTCGATGGAAATTAGTTTTGTCATCGCGTAGCACATCAAAAGAACCTTGCACTCTTTGTAGGAATAAACTAAGCATAGATACTAGAATTTACGTTTTGTACGCTAGAATCGCGTTTCGTCTACAAAACTTAAGACTTATCAATGAAGTTTTCTGTAATGTTGGTATTCTTTCTTTAGGCACTCAATGATCGATGCAGAGAGACTAATTACGCTTATTCCAAACGGGTAACCAGAAGAGTATCTCTAGCGGACACTACCGAAACACTTGAGCCCAACATAATTTGTAGCTATGCTTTGCTTGTAAACAGCTTAACAGCGTAACACGTCAAAATTGAAAGTTTGTCTGTTGTATAGATTTTCATTGAACAGAACTCTCAGTCAAAATAATAGACATTCTGTGTATTCATTTTGAAATAATTTGTTGCAATTTTTTTTCCATTGTGGTTTTAGCCACCGCAAGTAAGATTAGTTCTAACTTTATAACAGATTCAGAAATATAAACTAACTTTGTGAGGCCTTTTTTTGTAAGTTTGTGAATTCATGGGAAGTGGTCATAGCAAAAATCAGGAAAACTTCGTTTAAAAGTTCACTGAAAGATTTCTGCGAATGCGCACTTCTTTTAAACAAGTATATTTTCTTTTTAAATCATTTTCACTCAATTCCAACACTTTATAAAATTGTTTAATGAACTGCTCACCCTTCCGAAGCACAAGCTGAATTCAGCCGCAGTTATTGTAGGGATTCGTTTTTCTCAAAATTTTGCTATCTTTGTTTTTTCATCGTGTTTTGTTTTGCCATTGTTAATCTAACTTTTTTTCGACTTATGATTAATATTAATTACTTCATTTCAATGTTCACCCACTCCTTTAACTGATTCACACAAATGTACATGTTTAAAAACTACACAAAGGTAAAAACAATGTATCATACGTGCTAAACAATGTTACATACGATTTTACGTACATTTTTGCTTGTACTGTACAAATATACATACGTTCATGAATCTTCAGGTAACCTTTTTTGACCACTCGTGCGTTTGGTTCTATTAACAACATACATATTGATTAACATGTGGAAAATATGTAAACAAATATTGTTGAAATGTAAAAAATATATCATAAAACCTAACGAATAAGTTGGTACGTCACCTCGACTTTAAGGGGCGTCTGTTTGACTGCTGTCTGGGGGGGGGGGGGGGGGGGCTAGGATGAAATTTGAAAAAAAAGTCAGCAGGATGATAATTTATGTAAAAAAAGTCAGGATAAATTAATAAAAAAAAAGGCAGGACCGAATATAGTGAAAAATAAAAAGGCAGGACAGAGATTACAACTAAAAAAAAATGCAGGACAAAATTTTTCATCCTAGCCCCCCCATAAAAATCAACTAACCTGGATGTTCGTTAGTTTAGAATTTAAATACAACTCAATGATCACATTTGATATTACATGTGGGTAGAGATCGGCGTTTTCTGTATGTTAGAAACCCTTGCAACAACTCTTTAAGGGATTAGTACGAACACGTGTAGCATGTGAGTAGGCAACATTTCTGCCCCTTTCCAATATCCCGTTTTTGCAGCGTCGATTCAAAACGTTTTACCTTTTATATAGGACCACTAACAACTATGCAGAACCTGCCACTGGACATATTATTATTCATTTGTCTTCCTAAATATACATAAAATACATATTTGACACTGGACGTTACCTACCTGTTTAGAACTGAAAATAGATAAGGGAGCTACCATTTGATTATTAAGGGGGGGGGGGCTAGGATGAAATTTGAAAAAAAAGTCAGCAGGATGATAATTTATGTAAAAAAAGTCAGGATAAATTAATAAAAAAAAAAGGCAGGACCGAATATAGTGAAAAATAAAAAGGCAGGACAGAGATTACAACTAAAAAAAAATGCAGGACAAAATTTTTCATCCTAGCCCCCCCCATAAAAATCAAATGGTAGCTCCCTAACCTCGCCCAAGGTAAGAATGTAAAGAAATATTGATCCCATAAAACATAGGAAACGGTTGCGTACCAAATTGATTTTACAGAACGGATAATCCGGCATAGAAACATGTAAAGTTGCACTGTGTTTTTTATTGGTATTTGTTTTTTGGCCTAAGTACCAATCTGAGGAGACAAGCTAGTTCCAATTATTATGTTGTGTTGTTACATCACTGTCCAGGTAAAGCGCAGGTTTGAATGCTAACAAACATGTTAAACATTACTCCACCATAATCTTTATGTGGCTATTGTAAGGAGGGGGTAGTAATCAATTGTAAGGAGGGGTAAGGAGGGGATAGTAATCAATTGTAAGGAGGGGTAGTAATCAATTGTAAGGAGGGGATAGTAATCAATTGTAAGGAGGGGATACTAATCAATTGAAAGGAGGGGATATTAATCAATTGTAAGGAGGGGATAATAATCAATTGAAAGGAGGGGATAGTAATCAATTGTAAGGAGGGGTAGTAATCAATTGTAAGGAGGGGATAGTAATCAATTGTAAGGAGGGGATACTAATCAATTGAAAGGAGGGGATAGTAATCAATTGTAAGGAGGGGATAATAATCAATTGAAAGGAGGGGATAGTAATCAATTGTAAGGAGGGGGTAGTAATCAATTGTAAGGAGGGGATAGTAATCAATTGTAAAGAGGGAGTAGTAAACAATTGTAAGGAGGGGATAGTAATCAATTGTAAGGAGGGGATAGTAATTAATTGTAAGGAGGGGATAGTAATCAATTGTAAGGAGGGGATAGTAATTAATTGTAAGGAGGGGGTAGTAATCAATTGTAAGGAGGGGATAGTAATCAATTGTAAGGAGGGTAGTAATCAATTGTAAGGAGGGGGTAGTAATCAATTGTTTAACATTGATTTATATCATCCATATTTGTTTTTTTTATTCTTTGTAGTCAGTGGTTGTCGTTTGTTGATGTGTTACATATTTGTTTTTTTTAATCTTTGTAGTCAGTGGTTGTCGTTTGTTGATGTGTTACATATTTGTTTTTTTTAATCTTTGTAGTCAGTGGTTGTCGTTTGTTGATGTGTTACATATTTGTTTTTCGTTCATATTTTGTACATAAATTAGACCGTTATGTATTTCGTTTGAATTGTTTTACATTTGTCATTTCGGGGCCTTTTATAGCTGACTATGCGGTATTGGCTTTGCTCATTGTTGAAGGCCGTACGGTGACCTATAAATGTTAATTTCTGTGTCATTTGGTCTCTTGTGGAGAGTTGTCTCATTGGCAATCAAACAACAATTTTTTTTTATATACACCTTGTCCTTTCGGGGAAAATGTAGAAAGAGGAAGACCATAAAAACAGACAAAATAAAACGTAAGACTTTGTTTACCAACTTAACAAATGGACAACAACTGTCATATTCCAAGCTTAGTTAAGCAATTTCAGAAGAAAATGGTGGGTTATACCCTAACTAATCGATAGGTAAACTTAGTTTTCCGGATTCAGCATACCAGTATTGAATTTGTTTATGAAAATGCATGTTTGAACAAATGCTTACGATGCTCGTTCATTACAGCTTATTCTAGATCTTAACTGGACTAAGACATTGCGAAAGAATGGAATAATTAAAGATGTTTTTCTCCCACCTTTTAAATAATTGTATCAGACCCGGAATCTTATATAGCTACCGTAGGATATGAGTTGTGTTCAAGTTCAATGCCTCACGGTCATTTGTATAATCTGTCTACATTTTTATCAGTGGACTCTATAGAATAGTTGTCTCAAATTATATGATGCAAAAGCCCTCGGTGTCCGAGAAGTCTTAGCAGTCGAAATATGGTTACAGAATCACTTGCGTATCAACACTGAGGTTATGAGTTCGAATCTCACACATGGCAGGTGTGCTCAATTCCAATCTATATTGACTAGGATTGTCAGTTTTCGTACTGAAGGTCAACAGATCTCCATAGACACTCCAGCTATCTCGAAATAACAACTGACAGCCACGAAATAGCACAATAGTGCTGAAGTGGCGTTAAACAGCTATCAAACAATTAACAAATCAATCAATCACTCGATGTAACATCTTAGAACAGAAACAATGCATTTATATGATCATGCTTGTAAGTTGGTACACAGATCTTTCAAACACTTTTCTTATGACGCAGTTTACAAAACGGTGATATATTCATGATGTTGATGCACTTTAAATTGTAATTAAACTAGGTAATTATTTTTTTCTAGCAGAGATCGGTACATGTTTATCTGATTATAAAAAGTGATTGAAAAACTTACTTTTAATTCTTATCATTTTTGGACCACGACAAAGAAAACAATCCATTTGTATATGATTAGGAAATCCGTTGTGTTAAGCGATTGTCATTAAGCGATTGTCAAATTGTAAATGTTATAAACCGGAATTTATTAATAGAATTATTGTCGTAAAAGTTAATGTTTCAACACACTAAATATATACATGTATGTGTTTTTATTAATAAACGGATACAACAAGCCCATTTTTCTCACCTGACTTATACTATATGGCCTAATGTTATTGACATCATAACTTATTCAACGCACATATCACTGTGATATTTAGGCGTATAATTTTCAATTTTACCATACAAAAATAATTTAAACTGAGTCAGTCAATGTATTACGAGAGATAACTCTATTTAACCTCATTTACATTTTAGGCATTAAGATAAATGCCTGGACACATTTTTCAGGATCTAAAATTAATACTGGTTCTCTGTTACTATTTAAACTCTTACATAGGGAGTGTGGCACACATGGTCATGGATTTTCTTCAAACTTCACACACTTACTAGTCTTGATGAAACAAACAAAAAATGGCAAAATTTTGGTTGCTATGCATATCGGTTGACATAGCAACTGATGACCAGTTTTACCTCTTCTGGATATCTATGATTTTAAGCTGAAATTTTTTTCATATTAAATAAATAAGAGAAAGATTAATTGTTTATGATTTTATTAAATATATGCATTTTGTTAATATAATCTAATAACTCATGATTTCATATCAATTTTCAATCATAATCACATATACTCCCCCCCCCTTTTTATGTGGTTTACGTTAGGTAAAAAATTTCCTTTTGAGGTCATTTTTGAATGCTCACCATATTTTTTTGCGGACACCTGAGTAAAAGTCAACCATGAATTCATAAATACCATAGTCTTATCTAATCAATGACGCGAAAAAGTAATGGGGAATTATGTCTTATTATTTTGTTAGAGTGGATACAAAATGCTTAGTTTTCATTTTTTCAGAAAAAAAATTTTGAAAAATTTTGAAAAAAAAATGTTTTTAAACCTAGTTCTGTAGTCAGAAAAAAATAGATAGATAAATGTAGAAAATATTGTAATCATCAAAATTTTAAACATATTCATGTATAACGGTATTATAGTTTGAACTGTGTTGCTATGGAAACAATTTCATGATGATACACAAGTTTAAGACAATTAAAAAAAAGTTTCAGTTAGTTTCTTAAATGTGCACAAAAGTAGGAAAACTAAAACACTTATTAAGTTTCACTGTATACACGCATGTGTATAAATAAATAATTTTGCTAGTATAGTATATCGATAATGGTGTTGCCACTTGAAGGAAACAAACACAATTTCTCTAATCTGGATAAAAGTGCTGATTATGAAGAAATTTCAGTCTGTTTTCATGAACATGAAAAATATACAAGAAAAACAATTACTCAATCTAGAAAAAACTAATAAAATCATTTAAAAAATTATTTATACTAGTATTCAATTGTGCAATATTAGCCATTGAATGTGTCGCCATGGAAACAAGCAGTCCACTTTCAAAATTACTGATAAGTGCTGATTTTTACAAATATGTTTTAATGAACTTCGATACATATAGCAATAAATGTATACAATTTTGCTTACATTATGCAGGTGTTCTTGTATGTGAGAAATATTAACAATATTCCAGGCATTATTAGTGATAGTGTTGTCAGTTTGGAATTATAGTCAACACAGTCAACGTTGGTCAGGTCAAGATTTTTACCCAAAAACATATAGTTTTCCTGGTTTTTTTTAATAGAAATTTTCATCGGTTAAGTCATTGCTGTTGTTGGTCAGGTCATTGTCAATGTTAGAAAGGTCACGTTTTCAGAATTTTCGGAATTTTTTAATATTTTTTCTATATTTTTTCATATGTTTATATATTAAAATATAAAATTTTATTATTATTTCAAATTTAACCTAAATCCTTTAAGAAATAAAAAAAAGTTATTAGCATTTATATTTGGTCATCACGTTTTATGAAGATTTAAAAAAGATTTCTTATTTTTTCTTATATTTATGTATTAAATGGTCTAAATTTATTACAATTCAAATTTGACATGACTCCTTTGAGAAATAAAAAGTTATTAGCATTTTCGTTTTGGTCCAGTCATTAGTGTAACCCACCAAAGGGAGATAGTTCGTATTGTGAGGAATATTGCACAATGATAATTTTTTAGAAATTAATTTCACAGGTTTCTAGGTAGATTCCCACTAACTTTTTTTGATTTTTGATAAAAACAAGAATGAAATTAATTGTTTTTGTGTTTCTTTTTAATAGATGTAGCCGCATAATTTCACAACACTATACCAAATATTGTATTTTCTCAAAAATCCAGACTTTCTCCGCTGTTACCATGGTAACCAACCAATATATATATCGGTTGGCATATATTTGACTAAATTTACCAGCGTATTGTTTATTGATAATTTGTATAGCATTCAAGATTTTTATTTCAGTTTGACTACCACATGTCAAGATAAGATTCATTTAACATCTTACTGATGAAGGATGTTAGTTATGCGAAATATCTAACATTTGTTCATGATTTAATCATTTTGTGGTGATGTTGTACCCTTTTAGACTTCTTATATATTATATTTTGTAGTGTACTGTATCATAATTTTATGATCCATCGCCCCGTAAGATTTATCGGTGGCTATTATTCAGTCATTTTACACACACACACACACACACCTATATATATATATATATATATATATGAATTAAATCTTGATTTGTATTGGCCGTTCTTCATTTCAACAGTTTTTTAAAGGTCTTCATAAACAGTCTAAGAGCTTAAATCGTACCAGGTGGCCGAGCGGTTGAATGACTTAATCTACTGTATCAATAGCCTGTCAATATCATGAACATTGCGGTTGTGAGTTTAAACCCTACATGTGACATTAACCGAGGACGAAGGTCTTATTTATATATAACATATGTAAATGAAATCTTGTTGCAGTGAACTTTCTGTGTATTTTACTTTTTTTGCAAGTTTCAAAACATTGACAGTCAATATGCTGGCAGTCAGCAGGGTTTAAGAACATCAGTTGCTCGACCTGTTAGTCAAATGCGTTTTGTTAAAATATACTTTTTCAATTTTTTGGTCTTTGGGAAACTGCTGTTTGTGCTGTATTTAGACCCCTCTACAACGAAATTTGTTTTAAATGCACACGTATAAAAGTTGCGGTTTATATCCAACGCAATCATAGGTTTGAACGTTGTTTTTAATTTAGACTTGTTTATATTTTTTCATTTGGACTTGTATTATATTTTCCCTCCGGTTTATATAATCCGTTCATCCTATCTCGACTCTTTCAAATTCAAGAGTCTATCCTAAATGGAGGTATATCATATGGCCTTCCAAATACCGTTTTTATTCCTAACATTACTGAAGAGACATTCATTGTCGAAATCTGGATATGGTGTACTAGTTTTTGCACCTCATGTTTGCTGTATCACATCTTTGCCGCAAATGTATTGTTTTCTGTTGGTATTGAATTAATATTAAGATCCATTTTGTTACATCATGTGATCAATTTATTTGGCAATCGTCAATGGCAGTCAATAGGGTTTACGAACATCAGTTGTTCGACCTGTTAGGTGTTTTTTCACGTTTTTGGTCTTTTGGCAAATGTTGTTTGTGCTCTATTTAGACCCCTCTACAACAAAATTTTGATTTACATGTACACGTATAAAAATTGCAGTTTTTATCCAACGCAATCATAGGTTTGAACGTTGTTTTCAATTTAAACTTGTGTATATATACAGCCTAGGTGGTCGAGTGGTCTAGCGCGTCGGGCATAGTGCAAGGCGAGTTGGTGCCACGATATCTCAGTAGCATGAGTTCGAATCCCGGCCAGGGAAGAACAACAATTTACAGATCTAACATTGTTGGGGTGATATTAAGACGAATAACATATATATATTTATAAATAGTAATAAAGCATCCATATACTGGTTTACCATTTTAATTTCATGATCATAATAACAATGAAAAAAGAATAATAATCGGAAATTTGTAACTATTTTAACAAGTAACACATGACTTTTAGGAGGTTTGGAAGACAATTGCACATTAAAATTGTGTATAGAGTATCTTACATTTCCCATGATATGAAAAATCAAGAAACAGTTTGTACAAAAAATTAAAAAAATTTTAAAAGATATGTGAATTATGCATGGACAATTACATTGGAATTAAAAAACAAGTATTTGGAATTTACATATACAGAAATAAGACAATATAACACAACATTCCATCACAAATAAATAAAAAAAGATATTTTAAATAGCAAACATGTACCCTTAAAAGGACCCGTATTTAATTGTTACACAAATCACATGAGTTTTTAGATCTCTCAGTCGTTCTAAAATTTAACAAGTCATTCGCTTTGATATTGACGTATAGCAATTTTCATTCATAATGTTATTCAATTAGTAAACTGGTAACAGAAAAAGTAGATCAGACACAATAGGAACAGTAGTATACATGGGAAAGAATACATTGATTCTGCATAATATACATTGTTAAAATTTATTTAGCAAGTATATACAAAGTACATAAAATACATAAAGTTGATATTTTAATTCCATTTTTTTTTCAATTGAAATGTATCACATGTAATAAAAAACAGATTTTGAGTTAGAAACTATTTAACTTCAAAAAGGGGGGAGGTTATGGTTTTTGTCTGAGTAAGAAATAATGTTGTTTCTTTTTTAAATTTAACACTTATAGGTATCGGAAAAATCTGGATTCAATATTTTTTTTGGTCATCTATTTGAACAGAATATTTTTTTTCAATCAAATTGGGGATCAGAATATTTTTTTTTTAAGAAAAAAACATAACCCCTCTTGAAGTTAAATGGTCGTCCCCTTACTTTAAAATCCTAACCTCCACAACCTCCACAACCTCCACAACCCCCGCATCCTCCCCCACAATCTCCGCCTCATGCTCCACCTTCTGCACCACCATCTGCACCATTATCACCACCTGCACCTTCACCACCACCTGTACAGCAAAAATCTCCACAGCAATCAACTGTACAGCAATGATCTCGACCGTAACTATCACAGCAGCAATCAACTTTACAGCAAACATCTCCACAGCAATAAACTCTACAGCAACGATCTCCACAGCAACCATTTCCACAGCATTCAAATTTTAAGCATACATCTTCATCACAAATATCACCACAACCATCACCGCCACCGTTACTAAAGTTTCCTCTTTCAAAATCCCCAATATCATTTATATCATAGACGAAATTTGTTTTACATGTACACGTATAAAAATTGCGGTTTTTATCCAACGCAATCATAGGTTTGAACGTTGTTTTCAATTTAAACTTGTGTATATATACAGCATAGGTGGTCGAGTGGTCTAGTGCGTCGGGCATAGTGCAAGGCGAGTTGGTGCCACGATATCTCAGTAGCATGAGTTCGAATCCCGGCCAGGGAAGAACAAAAATTTACAGATCTAACATTGTTGGGGTGATATTAAGACGAATTACATATATATATTTATAAATAGTAATAAAGCATCCATATACTGGTATACCCTTTTAATCTCATGATCATAATAACAATGAAAAAAGAATAATACTCGGAAATATGTAACTATTTTAAAAAGTAACACATGACTTTTAGGAAGTTTGGAAGACAATTACACATTAAAATTGTGTATAGAGTATCTTACATTTCCCATGATATGAAAAATCAAGAAACAGTTTGTACAACAAATTAATAAAATGTTAAAAGATATGTGAATTATGCATGGACAATTACATTGGAAATAAAAAACCAAGTATTTGGAATTCACATTCACAAAAATAAGACAATATAACACAACATTCCATCACAAATAAATAAAAAAAGATATTTTAAATAGCAAACATGTACTCTTAAAAGGACCCGTATTTAATTGTTACACAAATCACATGAGTTTTTAGATCTCTCAGTCGCTAAAATTAAACAAGTCATTCGCTTTGATATTGATGTATAGCAATTTTCATGCATAATGTTATTTAATTTGTAAACTGGTAACAGAACAAGTAGATCAGACACAATAGGAACAGTAGTATACATGGGAAAGAATACATTGATTCTGCATAATATATATTGTTAAAATTTATTTCGCAAGTATATACAAAGTACATAAAATACATAAAGTTGATATTTTAATTCAATTTGTTTTCAATTGAAATATATCACATGTAATAAAAAAACAAATGTCGAAGGAGCAACCATTTAACTTCAAAAAGGAGGGGGTTATGGTTTTTGTCTGAGTAAGAAATAATGTTTTTTTTTTTTTAATTTAACACTTATAGGTATCGGAAAAATCTGGATTCAATTTTTTTTGTTGGTCATCTATTTGAACAGAATATTTTTTTTCAATCAAATTGGGGATCAGAATATATGTTTTTTAAGAAAAAACATAACCCTTCTTGACGTTAAATGGTCGTCCCCTTACTATAAAATCCTAACCCCCACAACCTCCACAACCTCCACAACCCCCGCATCCTCCCCCACAATCTCCGCCGCATGCTCCACCATCTGCACCACCATCTGCACCATTATCACCACCTGTACCTTCACCACCACCTGTACAGCAAAAATCTCCACAGCAATCAACTGTACAGCAATGATCTCGACCGTAACTATCACAGCAGCAATCAACTTTACAGCAAACATCTCCACAGCAATAAACTCTACAGCAACGATCTCCACAGCAACCATCTCCACATCCACAGCATTCAAATTTTAGGCAACCATCTTCATCACAAATATCACCACAACTATCACCGCCACCGTTACTAAAGTTTCCTCTTTCAAAATCCCCAATATCATTTATATCATAGCCGTAATTGTTGTTTTTTTTACACAAATCGCCGACAATGCGATCGATGTTTACACTCCCACAGTCACCAAAGTCACGCCAACTTCCCCAGAATCCACCGTAGGGATTTGGTCCCCATCCCCATCCCCAAACCCATCCCATACCTGGCCCATAACCACCAAGACTATAAACTAACGCTCCTGCTCCCAGGATAACACCTAAAGAACATAATAAAACAGCATTATTTGTAAAGACTGTATACATGTACTGTAAATCAACTTATTTTCGCGGATACTTTTTTTCGCGTTTAACGCTTTCTAGTCCTCTTTGCAGCTACTTGATTTAGCGATTTCCTTATCAACTTAATATAGTTTGATAAGGAAAGATCCAAGGTTTACATATTCGCCACGATTTACATTCGCATTATACGTGATTTAGCGATTTCCTAATTTACTTGATGTAGTTTAATAAGGAAAGATCCAAGGTTTGCATATTCGTCACGATTTACGTTCGCATTATTTTTCTATACGCTCGCGAATTTAGATATACCAGTACTTCAGTTTCTTTTGATGGTCAAATTCATTAGAACAACCGAGTTTGTTTTGCACTGTGAAGAATGATAAACAAATGTTTTTTAAGGAAATTTGCGTTCGAATTTTAATGTTTTACAATCTGGTATTGGTAATGCTAGTTTAACAGCAGCGTTTCAATCAAATCTAATGGTTTTTTGTTAGTGTTTTTTGGACAAGTGTTTTTCGGACAAGAAATCGTTATTAACCATATACGTTTAGTACCCAGAAACACTTTAAACCTTTACTTTAAACGTTTTAACATTAACATAAACTAATCAATAATATCAGGATTACAACAATTTTTAATCGAAAAAAGTTAAAAAGGCAGAATACAGTACGAAGTCGAAGATCATTGAGGCGTCAAAATTATTGAAAGGTTGAAGTCATGAATAAAATGAACAACACTTGTGTATTAGTTTCAATAACTATTAGCTATTTCAAGCTATTTCAAGTTAAGCCAAAAAACATCTCACATTATTCATTTTATTTGTTACATATTGCCTTACCACTTTTTATGCCCGAATAGGTTCTTTCGTCTCTAACGTTTATATGTTGACATTCAGGTTGGTCTGAAATTAATTTAGTTTAATTTAAAACTGAAAAACGTTGTTTTGATTACAATAACTACCATGAGAGTGCAAATGCACTGTCAAATTAACTTCAGTAAATATTATATTACATTGAGTTTAAGATCATTTCTTCAAAGGTTTACCTGAAATCTTTATAGATTGTTTTAAGAAAGTTTTTATGTTTTGTAGAATGTTCCCCGACTGCACCGATCGTTCAACGTAACTTTCTGGGAAGTCAAGTGAAAGGTTACATACGCTTTCAATACGCTTGTAACCTGGATGTTCTTTTTGTAATCGATTTAGGGCTTTTGAAGACCGATATACTACTGTTGCCTGTATTTAATACTGTGCGCAAAGTGCTTAATTGTGACAAGATCGCCGTTATATTATGTATTTGTTGTATGGAAAAAGTTGAACAATTGGAAAAACAAATGTTTCTCATAAACAAATAAAACTCGAACTTCACAAAAATTTAGTAAGACGGAACATATTTTTACTCCGAGGATGACAATTTCACCACAAGTCATTTCGATCTGTTAGTCATCGATATACACATTAAGACATTATCTTTTAATCAGCTTCAGTCACTGTTAGTGGTCCTTTGTTCATTTATTTATCATTGTCATTTTGCTTATATTCTTTAGTTACCTATTTTGACATCGGAAAAGGACTTCTTTAAAACTGAGTCATACTGTGCGTATTGATGTGTGTTTCTTTATTCTTCATTGGCTAGAGGTATAGGGGGAGGGTTGACATCTCCCAAGACATGTATAACCCCGCTGCATATTTGTACCTATCCCAAGTCAGAAGCCTCTGGCCTTTTTCAGTACACATATTTTTTAAGGGGCCAGCTGAGGCCCATCACAGAGTACGGGGTTTATACACTGCGTTGAAGACCCATTGGTGGCCTTCGGCTGTTATCTGCTCCTTAATCGGGCTGGATTCTGTTTGACATATTCCTCATTTTTATTCTCAATTTTACATAAAAAAAACAAATTTTTCGTTTCGTACTTACTGGTTAATAATTTAGTAGGCCAGACGTGGGTGTCGAGCTTTACATTAGACCAACATGAGAAGATGGCATCACAACAGTATAAATGCCAATTCAATAACAAATAGTAACACAAAAATTATCCAAATGCAACGAAAAAGGTTACAAACAGAAACATGCAAAATCTGAGGCATTCGTGATGTAACGTACAAGGTCCTTGAGAATCTACTCTTTATTGATTATTATAATTGGTATGTCGTCATTAAAATCTGAAGACTGTACCAAGTCAGGAATATGACTTGCTATAAGAAAACGAATACATGCATTCATTTGCGCCATCATGAATACATTAGGTTCATTATGTTCCTTATGTCTTCACCATTGTCTTGTGTATGTGTCATGTAAATTTTCTATACATGTATTTTTAAAAATTTTATTACGAGGACGGTCTTTAATTTTTTTTTAAATAATTCTTTTTTCAGTTAAATGTTACGTATTAAGTTATTCATACTTACATCGTACAACGTTAACTGATGGGTATAAGTTAACCTGGTCACTATTGCTGGAATCATGAGCATTCTCTGGTGGTTTAATCTGGTTGCCATTGCTTATATGGTGAGTATTCTCTGGTGTAACCTGATTACCATTGCTTATATGGTGAGTATTCTCTGGTGTAACCTGATTACCATTGCTTATATGGTGAGTATTCTCTGGTGTAGCCTGATTACCATTGCTTATATGGTGACTATTCTCGGGTGTAACCTGATTACAATTGCTTATATGGTGAGTATTATCTGGTGTAACCTGATTACCATTGCTTGAATGGTGAGCATTCTCTGGTATCACCTGATTACCATTGCTTATATGGTTAGTATTCTCTGGTATAACCTGATTACCATTGCTTAAATGTTGATGATGCTCTGGTGTTACCCGATGTTCATTGATTGAATGGTGGGGATGCTCTGGTCTTGAAGGAGGAGAAGGCAGCTACAACAATTCAAGGTCAAAGTAAAAGGTGAAAGGGCATTTTTCAACTATATATATCATATAAATAAACTCATCATAGATGTATTTTCCTTAATGTGCCGTAACTTTAAATTTTAATTTAATGTGAAATTGAAAAATGTTTTCAAAACAGGAAGAACGTCAACACCAACTTTACTATATATATGCCTATATTGAGACAGCTCATTTTGTCATCTAATTATGTACAGATTTAAACATATCTTTGTTGTGATATATATACTTTCACCAGTCGCTACTATTCTTTATTTCTGGAGTAAAGGGTCTATAAAAATCATAAATTTGTTATTGTTTGATTGACATATAGATTTCAAAGTTTGGAATTCGTCAATGCGGCATTTATGAACTGATGATCTGCTAAATCACTGTCTAAATCGATTAAGAGGAAACAATTTCAGGCTACAAACTAAATCTGAGGGAAACACATCAAATATAAGCGGAAAACAACGAAAGCACAGAAACACTGAAAACCAAACGATAATGCAACACACACAGAAACGACGAAAACCAAACGATAATGTAACACACACAGAAACGACGAAAACCAAACGATAATGTAACAAAAACCAAACGATAATGCAACACACACAGAAACGACGAAAACCAAACGATAATGCAACAAAAACCAAACGATAATGCAGCACACACAGAAACGACGAAAACCAAACGATAATGCAACAAAAACCAAACGATAATGCAACACACACAGAAACGAACTATAAGACAACAATCGCTATTTTCTGACTTAGCACAGGACATTTTAAGAAAAATGGTGGGTTGAGCCTGGTTTTGTGGCTAGCCAATCCTCGCGCTTTTGAAAAAAATAAAATAGAACTAATATGAATGCTTGTACGCTAGTGCGTGAATTTACCTAATATTAAACTTAGTGACTGAATTTTGTTTTACACGACCTGTGATACAAGCATTTAGGTAAAATTAGTCAATTAGAAGACTTATAATAAGATTACTTTTATAAAAGAGTTGTAAAATTGTGTTGAATTGGAAAGTCTGTGGAAAGGTATATACTATGAACAAATGAAATTAAGTGCTAGGGGCACAGTTCTTCGCTCTAAATTTCAATTGTGCATTTTATTGTACCTACCGTTGGTTTAATAGCCTCAAGCCATGCCCTGTAAATAATAATCAATAAAAATAAATAGTATATAATACTGTGTAATATAGTACTTGTTTATAATGTAACACTCTCAAATGTGTCGACTCCATAAACGTGTCCGCCCCACCGAAACATGTTCTTGACATCACTTACTCCACATGTGTTCGATTCCACTACCCAAAACGTGTTCAATTTTACTTCCAAAACATGTCTTTTTTTCCAGCTCAAACGTGTCCGATTTGTACTTCGCCCAAACGTGACCAATATAAGATATAGGTACATGTATGTCTCAAAACGTTAAGCGCTAACATGTCTTCTTTGACGTCAACTATAGCACAAGGGAATCAATGGGGAACATTATAATTTCGTAAATAAAGTCCAAAGACAAGAGAAATCAGTGCTTATGTATTATAATGAGTCCATGCATTGTGAATTGTATCTTTTGGACTTCTTTGTAATTTAGAAATACATTTTAGTATAAAATTTGATTGAAAACGGTGAAAATAAGTTTGACATCTAATGCCTCTTTAAATCAATAGCTATTACTTGCATAAAAAGAGAGATTCAGTATTTGCTTTTACAATATAGATAAAATTAAAATATAAATTACACAATATAAGAAATTATTTTAAATTACGGAATATATCGCCCTTATGCACAGCTTTGATTCCTTGCCCGGTTATGGCAACTATGTCTTGTTCCTTTTGGTAACTAGCTTTCAAATAAGTTGGCCTCGACATCACTGAAGAGACATGTCAAAATGCGCATATTCGGCAGAAAAATTGATACCGTTAATTTCCCCGTAAATCACGTACATTATTGCATTTCGGTGTTGATTTTATATAATAAAGTTCCTCTCGTAAAATTTTTAGTTATGTACTAATAATAGTAGTCAGAGTGACAAACTGTTAGAGGATATCCACGAACACAGATTTTAAAAGAGTTTAAAACTGATCCAATTGTATCATAAGTGTTGTAATTACGTACTGCATGTCTCCTTCATACGTTGGGAATAACATCCAGTTCATTTTAAGATTTCTTCTTTTAGTGTTCTTTTTGAAGATATCAGGAACACCCATTAAATGTATGACATGTCTGCCTTTTGGAAGCTTTGGAAAACCAACTGTATGGAGGCACATTGGTCCAACTGCAATGAAATTTGCTACCATCTGAAAAAAAGATAATATAGTTTATTTTTAAATAATTCATAGATATAGCGATTTTTCCAAAAAAAAAATTACACATTCGCGGTTTTAGAAAAAACTACATTACAGATATATTTATCGGATTTCAGATGAGAGTTCGTAATTTTGCCATGTTCAACCAGCTACATTATATTTTTTGAATTGATAAAAATCTAGCAATATTTCGGAATTTACAGTATAAGGTCGATACCAATGCTTGAGGACGGTTAGTCTTCGATGGTAACATCAGCATAGCCAGCGTTTTGGTAGTAATTTGATTTTAAATTATATGCCTTAAAAAGTTTCTAAAATACTCCGTTTATAAATTTTGAAATGTTGAAAAAAAAGTCAGGTTCAACTCCCTCAGGCTCTGAATCTACTGGACAAAATGTAACCAGACTTAACCACAATCATCATTTGGGTATCGAATTAAAAAATGTTCTTAAAATAGAACACAGAGGTAAATATAAGTTTTGTCTATTATCTTGAAGACTAGTGATTAGAAAACTGATCAACCAGACAAGATCTACCAATAAGGTTTTGTTGTTGAAATCGTCTAATGAACCTTGGAGTTGAATATTGGCAAGACTAGAACAAACTATTCCAGTATTAACAAGGAAAGAAAATAATTTGAACATGTTTGCCATATCTTATAATTAGTTTCTTTAAAGACCTGACTTGACCTATAAAACTTACCAGGTGGTAAGCAATAAAACTTGGGATGGGAGGAACTTGTTGTTATCAACATCCTATTTATAAATATACACATCATCTGTTTGTTATAATAACACATGGCTGTATCTGAATGATAAATTTTATGTATTTTTGTAACAGAAGTGTACATTTGTAAGTATAATTAAAATTCCACTGAATGATGAATATTAAAATGTATGAACAACTTACAGTAAACACCTAAATCATAGTTAAAAAATAGAAATACAAAAAAATACAGAAACTATTACACAGTATTAAATTTCTTGTGCTGTGATTATTTCTAATAAATTACAAAAACAAATGTCTTGAAAACTGCAGAAATGAATTTTATTTGAAATATCACATTTAAACACTTTTCTTTTTGAGTAAATACTTTGCATAAATCTTGACCAAATATTGTCTCTAAATTTGTATGTAGTTCTTTGGTATTTCTTCTTCCCTTTTTTTACTCCTTGGCATCCTGTGATTTTGTTTAATTGACACTGAAGTAAAGTCTCTATCAACATTTTCATTCCAGTGAAGTACACTAAGGTTGGCTCGGGCATTGTATTGGCTATCACCGAACGCAATTCTTTTGTTTTGATAAATATTTGTTACATTGTTAAAACTTTCAACACAAAATGTATCCCTTCCAAGAACATAATCTTTTGCATATTTGTATACAGTTGCATTAAGTATAACACTTAAAAGAATTTTTTCAGCAACTGGAGAGGTTATTACAATTCGTGACGGTTCATATTTGGCATCAACCTTACACCGGGCACTTTCATGGCAGTCAGTGCGAATATTCTTATAGTGATCAAGGATATTTAATAAACTCTTCTGAGGTTTCTTTTAAACTTGGTTGCAGTTCTGGATAGCCCAATGCATGTGGGTAGCCACAGGTTCAACCTTGTCCGATAACTGGAATGACCATGTTTTTCACTCAGAAGATTTAGATCCAGTTGACACCTTCTTTAATGCTGATTTTACAGACTTAACACAATGCCAAACATCGGTCTGATTGATTGCTTCTGTATTTTCCCTTACATATTTGTTTATTGACAAATTCCTGTCATGGCAATGAACATTCACTGTTACATCGTTTCATGTAAATAGTTGAAGATCTTCTCTGTTCTAAGTCTTTCATGTCTTTGAGATGCAGGGTCCATTGTTTTCGTAACATCTTCACAACAAATAAATTTATGTGTTTTTTCTCCAATGCAGACAACACTTGTATCTTTTGCATTCTTACGCCTGCCGTGTCTTACATCTGACATAATGTCTATCTTGCTATCAAGTTCTTCACAAGATGCTATCTCTTGTAAAAGTGCTATGTCAGTTGAATATTTATACTCCTCTTGTATGTACAATTTTCATCATTTATAACCCCTATTCCTGCTCCTTGTGCAAATCTCTTGTAGACTGCAGACAATATTCCACTACATGTAATCCCATGATTCACTGTACTGTTCACTACGTATTTGTTGGGAAATAAGGAGAGGAGGACCAAGAAAATACATGAGGTGTCTCTATATCGTTACATTTTAGGCTTGTTTTGCAAACATGTCATTTTTTCAACATATTTTTAGGTTTAAGTTTTTCTTTACAACATCTTGCATGCCAATCAACAACCGATATAAGCTTCTTAAACATGTTAAATGAATCTTCTGCAGTCAGAAAATTATGTTGGTTTGTGTCTACTTTCTTTGATCTGATATATGTGGATGGACAGGGTTCCTCTTGAAACTCTTTTGACGGGGTGTTACTGGTATCATTCTCTTCATTCCATTTTTGCAGTAAGGCTTCAGTAACCTGCAGGTTTTTTGGTTTTTTTTAGTCAATTCTGGTCTAATTGAAGCAAATTTTCCAAAAATTTCATCCTTCTTTTCCTCAGTACCTGACTCTTTAATCCGAAAACACGGAGTTCTTTTTCTATTTTTTTTTCTCTCACTTTCTGACATTATCAACAAAGATCATTTACAACAATCATGACAATTACTATACGAAATGCTATAAGAAAGACTGATGGTTTTTTTTTATCTGAAATATGGATCAATCTATTTAATTAAAGAAAGGTATATAAGTACTCAAGTCAAATATATATGTAATATATTTTGTTAATTATTTTTGATAAATTTAGGAGATAAACCTTTATGAGCTTTGAAAAAAAAAAAATATGATAAAGAATTTTGCTGTTTTGTTTTTAATATTAATCTTTATCATTCTTGAAAAAATTTCTCACACCCTATACTTATGTATCAGCTACAGTTTAAGTACTTGCAGATGTGTCCATTCCCGCCAAATATCAATGTTATGCAAACAACATATGTAAAATATCACTGTCATATGGCATTTTTTAGGTCTTACTAAAGATTTGTTTGCCACAAATATATTTGATTTTTTTTTAATTGTTGATTATTATTTTACCAAAAAGAATGTATATCAACATTTCCAAGTACTTTTATTAAATCTGTTCAAATCGAAATCCTCATTGTGCCTTGGGTTGCAGATTACAAATTCTAGATTTTGGAAGTTCATTTTCATCTTATAAAACATGGAGGAAAACAATGAATGTAGTAATGTCACTTCTGTGTTATCACTTGAAGTTACACAAGAGCAGAGAGATGTAATGTATCACTTTTTTGCTCATAATGATTGAGATTTTAAAGAGGCTAATTCTGACAAGAATAAGATGAACAATTCTGAAAGTAATGAACAGTCATTCAGAAAATTATCACATTGCACAGGACCAAGAGTCACCTGAATGTCCATATTGTTTATGTCGACCATGTATAACAGATGAACAAAATAGACAATTGTGGTGGGAAAATGAAAATTGTGCACTTCATGAAAGAAATTCTTTCTTAAGAAAAGATAAATTAAAACAATTTTGGACACACATTTTTCATAGAGGGATGAGGAATGACCCAAGATATTTAAGGAGAAAGAGAGACACACTTAAACGCGACAGACCAAGGAGAAAATATACGTATCACAGGAGAGATTTAATACCAAAATGTGTCCTGGAATAGGTTAGGAAATGGTTCCCAAATCCTTCATGTCAAGAATATATGGGTCACAAATGGGATAAGTGTTGTGATTATTACATATCTTCCCTATTCTAGTATACAATGGACGTTTTTACCAAATCTTAATGATTTTCAATAAAAGTAAATTACCCAATTTCATATTAATAATATTAACCTGGACAAGTAATTATGAATCAATGAAATTTTTAAAAGTCATTACTATGAAATGGAATAAAGATTAGATTAAAGCTGTACACATGCAAGGTAAGAATTTTTCACTTATCAGCACGTGCGTGTGGTATTTATGTAAACAAAAACAGAAAACAGCTGATGCAAGCTCCGCCTTATCTGTCACTCTGGGAAATTCAAATTTTGAAAATATGACCATTTGAGTTTTTAAACAGTCAATATTCCTTAAAGTTATGGATTTTTTTCAACATAAGTTTGTCAAAATGCAGATAATTTTTGTCAAAATGCAGATAACTTATGTTCCTACTTGGTTGACCATTCCTAAAGGAAACAAAAAATTATTAGTTGAGATATCTGAAAAAATATTCCTTACACTTCAAACCTGCAAAAAATAACATAAGAAGCCATAATATTTCTCATTGGATTCTATTTATACCCCCTGTCTGGTCTTTAAGATAGGGTCCAATTCACATATGATGCATAGAAAGCTTTCAAATAGATCAGTCGATTATATAAAACAGAAATGCTTTACCAAATTATTTCGTTTCATTTTATGTCACTGTGTTATCTGTTTTACTTATTGCTGTATATTTATATATTACAAAAAGCTCGATATGATTAAAAATGACATTGTTTATAAAGTGGCTACTGAACAGTGCTTTGTCTAAATGTTTTGTATGTATATGTTGACAGATAAATAAGGAGAGACAGGGTATTCTTCCCGTTTAACATATACAGTATAATGGATCCCTTAGGTTTTCAGTTTATTCCTGCTTAACTTTTAATGTAAAAAGGTATACTCATAGATTTAAAATTGACATGTACATATATAGATTTTAGAAACCTGTTGATCAGTGGTTGTCGTTTGTCAATGTGTAATAATAATGGTAAAATTTTACATATTATGACTTGTATCGAGAGTTGTCAAATTGACTCTCATACCACATGTTCTTACGACTATCTAAAATCTATCCCCTCTATTGAAAATGTACAAAAGTGTCCGTTCAGAATCTAAATTTATGAGTATAAATAAGTTTTACAATTGCGTTATACATTTTTGTCATAAGTTTGAATACATATACACAACTGTATGTGGTGTTCCATAATTGGAAAATGATATCAATACAATAGTTGAAAAAGATTACCTTTAGCCTTATACCACCCTTGTGGTGCCCATCGTCGTTTCCATGGTACCATAAAAGACTGCTGTCAGCATACAATTCAAAATAACGATCTTTCCATCCGTTGTAAAAAAATCCTCCTGTATAATACCAAAATATATAGAAAAGACGGTTGTCCACATACACGAATTGAAAACGCTTTCTTTAACATGTCTGCGCCATGTTTTTGTTATATTGTGAAACAACGTTTGAATATAAAATTTTGATATATTTCGTCAGTTACGGAACTGTTATTTAAGATGCATAAAAACAAAGGAAAAAAAGCATTACGATTTATTTTCATTTCAATAATATGAAATATATTATGCATATGTTTGCATTAGTTATGCTTATCTAATTTTGTAACCCTCTTAAAATAAAGTATTGAAAATAGGGAATGCTCAACATTGCGCTGATAAAATGGTGGGATGCATACATACCGATTCACGTACTTATAACAAAACAGTAATGCAATATTCATGAAATAATAATAAAAAAAAAAAAAAAAAAAAAAAAACAACCACCGTTTAAAAAAGAAAACAACAAAATTGGAGGGCTAGGGGTATGGGTGATTTTAGATGCTCCGTGAAGGTCAACAGATAGTGACAATCATAATAATCTGAAAACGAAATGTGAAATTAAAGTGAAAAACAAATTTCAGGACAAAGGATAAACAAGAATTCTATTGGTAGATATTAAACAGACAATCTAAAACAAGATCGTCACAAAACAACACCGGAAACATAAACAAAACCAAGAGGAACCCCTTTAAATCAAAACTATGATCCATCGCCGATACTTTGAATAGATATCTTTTAGTCAAATGTATATATGTAATCTAAAATGTATGTAGATGGATGTAAATGTGGAGCAAACACTGCTGACCTTTTCGATGAGCTCATCCCTATTTTTATATGAAGTTTTGTATTAAATATTTTGTTTCTTTGTACTGTTTACATTAATTGATTTGAGCGTCACTGACGAGTCTTTAGTTGACATAACGCAAGTCTGGCTCTCATTTAAGACTTTTTATCTATGATGAGTTTATTATGAACTTAAATTTGTAATGATGTCCCTTTGGTTGAATGTTTTTTAATTGCTCCTTGGTTTCATTTTACTATTTTGTTATCATCATGTATTGTTTTAATTCATAGTTTACAATTATACGTTTTTGATCTACTCAAAATTACACAAGAAAATGAAGTTAAATGTTCGACCAATAATTTTCTCAGTATGACTTATTGAGTTTCAATTGAATAGCGTTATTTTAATTCACTAGACATCAATCTCCAAGAAAATGTGTTTAGTGTTTTAAAGACTCATTTTAGCCTTAATGTCCTGAATTTTTCAAAGTCTTCTTGTTACTAGATGAATACCTTATGGTTGTTGTTCAAAATATTTACTTTCAGGAAAGAAAACATTTTGAGGAATGAGACGTCATAATGCAGTATTTTGACGTCATTTCACGTGCACAGTAGTTGATTTTCTCAATTTTAACAATTTTTTACTCAATTGTGGACGGCTAAAATGTAACCCAATGGTATGATATTTAATTGTATTATGAATTTTCAATGCCATTGTTCAACGGTTTGTAAACAATGTCAGTTCGCGCTACATTAACTTCTTATTTAAAATGTTTAACATACGCTCATAAATAGTGAGGTAACCAGTCTTCACTACTCGACTTGTTGGCTCTATAAAGAAAAGATATAAAATTAAAGGTTAGCAATTTTCGTATCTTATTTGCACCATTTACCACCCATCATCTCTTTTCCTTGAATATCATTGAACGAAACTCACCACAGAATTTGTACTTACATGAGCAATAGTGGAGAAGGTACCCTTCTGGGCGACATGAGCCCACCCGCGGTTTTTGGTGGGGTTTATGTTGGTCAGTGTGGTGTTGTCTATATCGTGTTTTGAAGACTTTTGTTTTGTCATTTCGTCTTCGTGTCTCGTTTTTGTCATGGCGTTGTTAGTTTGCCTTCGATTTGTGAGATGAAAAATCTCTTTGGTGTCTTTCGCTTTTCTTTAATTTGTGTGATAACGACGGCGTAAACATCTGTTCTCCGATTTTCTATTGGCATTTTTGGATAGTTGTTTATTATTATTGTTTTTCTTTTGCGACTTGACTTGACTTGTCCTCTCTTTTATATTCATGGTGACAATTCAACATACGGCATTTTAACCTTATTATCTAATTTTCTGTCCTTTACCAAAATACCCTCATTTTCCAGTGGCAATCCTAATTTCCCGTCCTGTATTTGGATTGACTCCTTTTAAAGGACCTACATATGGTATGTATTGCCAATTTGTTAATTTTTGCTCATCCTGAACATGTTTTTACCGTAATAAAATTTGATTGTTTACATAATGTTAAAGCTACAATATCAATTAGAAAAATCAGCTTTCACGTCAGTGTTCTCTTTTGAGTCGGTGTTTTTGTTTAACAAAATATAATATATTCGTTTCTATAAAGTAATTCGTATCAGGAAAATTCCACCAATCATTTTACTTTGTCTTGAAGTTAGTCAAGAGAATAACACGTGTTAAATGTAACGCAGGCATTTTTTTATAAACAATCTTAACTCTTTTCTATGGAGTACACGTTGTCCATTTTATACCTTTTGATCCTTTAATGATGTTTTCCATTACCCCCACCTCCCTGTTCAGAAGTTGAATGTACAATCGAATGACACAGATGTGCATACAAATGTATAAAGCATCTAATATGTAGCGACACATAGATGTAACAGGATTATATTTCCAACAATTTTTTTTTCACCGATCATCAACGATTAATCAAATGCACAATATAACATTTTGTTTTGTATTTAAGGTTTACTTATCATTCTGTAAAATCCTAACATAAAACGACGTTTATTAAATATATTTTTTACATAAGTATTAAAGTATCTTGTACATATTGAAAAAACAACAACAAAACACGAGCATGATCCACACAACGGACGCAAAGTACCTATTTAAATTGCAACCAAATCGGAAAAAAGTTTGAATGTCACATGAATCACAAAACGCGAATGTACCACAAAATGACGAGTAGATTATTTTCGAATATATATGTTTAAATATATATATATATTTATTTATTAAAAGTATTTGTATACTCTGTAGTTCGCTTCCGGGTGCGGTATACTCTTGCTGTGTTCAAAACCCATTGATAGCCTTCGGCTGTGTATTTTACTCTTTGGTTGGGTTGTTGTCCTTTGATACATTCCCCATTTCAATTTTCTATTTTATCGGAAAGTAGTCCGACTTTTTGTTTTAGATATCTAATAGTTAATATGAAATTTACCTTTAATACGTATTGGAGTTGGATCACAACACTCCATGGCTTGTGTATAGATTCAAGTGTAGCAAACGATCGTTAAAAATAAATTGTAAACAACTATTAGGAAGAACATTTAAAATAAAATGCGTATTAAGTAAGGGCACAAGTACTTAAACACTAAATAAGATACGATCACGTGTTCGTGGAAAAACTTTTAACAAAAGAATTGGAACTCCTAGGGGAATTAAAAGTCCATAAAAACTGACAAAAACAAACATTTTCAACGGAACGAGTGAAAAAACAACTGTTAAATGTTTGATTAAGTAGAGGCATTTTCCAATGAAAATGAAACTATAAAATGTTAAAATAAGATCGCAGAAAAAGTGAATGAACGAATTAAATACACGAGATGAATTAAACATGGTCGAGTTGAGATAGGGAATACTATCGAATAGAGGAAGTATACATTTATAGTAAACAATAATCATGGCGTACATTTAAAATAAAGTGCGTATTAAAAAATACATAAGTATTTCAAACAGACGTGTTAGTTAAAATATATATTTAAAAATATAAAAACACCTGATGGAGTAGAAATATAGAATACTATCGAATTTCAGAAGTGTATACAATTATAGTAAATAAATAATAAGGACATAAATTTAAAAGAAAATGCGTATCAATTAAGACACAAGTATTTCTATACAAAGTATGATACGATGACATGTTAGTAAAATTAAATATTTCAAAATATTAAAATTGGATTATAAAACCAAAATAATGAAAAGATAACAAACTATGTGACGGAATTTTAACATGGTTGAGAAGAGATAGGTGTAATTGAATTAAAAAGAATTTGAACGAATTAAATGTTAACTAATCAACATGACATGACTGTAACACACGGGTTAAGATGGTGAAAACTATTGAATATAAGAAGTGTTCACAATTATTGTAAACAGAAATCATTTAATACATATAAAATAAAGTGCGTATCAAATAAGAAACAAGTATTTAAAAACAAACTATGATACGAGGACGTATTAGTTAAAATAGACATTTCAAAATATTAAATTCGATAATAAAACAATTTACGTAAAGATAACTAATCAAAATGACAGAATTTTAACATGGTCGAGTATAAGGAGTTTACAAAATTATGATACACAACAAACATGAACTACATCAGAATAAAGTGCGTATCAATTTAGCAAAAATATTTGAAAATCAAAGATGATACGATGCCGTATTAGTTAAAATGATATAACAACTTATTGAAAATAAAAAAAAAAACCAATATAAAACATATTTCAAATACACTTCTGTATGTTTCCTTCGCTAATACATGTAATATTTCACTCATTAACAGATATATTAGGCTCGCGCGTTATATTTAAATTTTTTTAATTACTCTTAATTAGAAAATTGATGAAAAAGTCGACGTACAATACCGATTTTTGAAAATTAAATGTCAATTTTATGACTTAAAGCAATGTATTGCCGTAAAATTATCAAAGAGTTTTTAAAGTATACTTTCAAGACTTTCTACATCTGATAATAAAAAGGAAACGAAACATTTGTGGGAAAATATGCTCGTATTTATAATTGTAAGTATAGACTCGGCGATCTTTTAACAAGTGATTACCTGCCAACAGTGTTTTTATACGTCTTGTATAACCAGAAACCAGTATATTTCTATGTTAAAGCTAAGCACAAGTGAAAACTTTAAATGAGGAAGTCACATGTTGGTTTAAAAACACTGTAAAACATTAAAGTGGGCTCGAGGGTTTAAATCCATTTGTTTAAATATAGGATTTTCCTTTTTTCTTTTATAAATGAACTTTATCATATACTTGATAGAAAAATGAAACAAAAAAATGGGATCACCGTTCATTTAAGCTCACAATCTACTTCGAAAGAAGCATGCATTTGTATTAAGGTACTTTTTTCTGTTGAAATAATAGGAGAAATAGAGGTATTATCGAAAAAAAAAATGAACTAAATTACAGAAATCGCTTAAATTTTACAATTGTTTAGTTTAAGTACAGCTTATTGGAAAAAAAAAAAAAATGGTCACCAATGAGTTAAAAAAGATAATGCAAACAAAAAAAAAAAAATCATTTTTGCACCAAAGGGAGATCATTTGGAGCTTTATCAATGATACAAACATTTTAAAAGTCATCTGGGGCCAAAACGAAATGATTTTTTGGTTGAAAATACTAATAGTGTAATAAATAAAATTTGCAGTAAAAAAAAAATGTTTGTAATTTTTGCTGAAATTATTGTATCCTCGTTCCAAATCAAATCAACAAATCAAACCAAATGCATCTGTCGATATTAGACCGTATGTATAAGAAAATTCATAAATTAATTTGAGATTAATATATTTAGATAATACCTAGATGATAAGTAATATGACATTGCTAGTATTTGATATATATTTTTTTAAATCATCATAGCTTGTTGTATACGAGTAATCAAAGAGAGATTCTGATGGTAACACAGCTGAGCTTTCATCAATAAAGCCTTAACATTAAAGAATAATAAGTGCTGCATGATACGGGGATGTGTGCAACAATGATTAAGACATGACGGGACAAATTGGACTTCAGACGATTGTTGTAGACCATGTTCGTTGCTTTTTAATGTTTTAAAGATGGTTTTGCTAAGAATTATTGCAGGTATCACATCATCAATAATCTATAAGAGTAAGGCAAAGTTGAGAAGGAACCTACTATACGGACATGCTCACCATGATATTTTTAAATTTTGTAACATATGTTTATTCAAAAACACGCAATATCATCGGTATAAAATTGAGAATGGAAAAGGGGAATATGTCAAAAAGCCAACAACCGACCAAAGAGCAGACAACAGCCGAAGGCCACCAATTGATCTTCAACGAAACGAGAAAATCCCGTACCCAGAGGTGGTCCTCAGCTAGCCCCTAAATAAAATTGTGTACTAGTACAGTGAAAATGGGCGTCACACTAAACTCCAAAACAAATAAATGAACTAAAATTAAAAAAAAATACAAGACTAACAAAGGCCAGAGGCTCCTGACTTGGGACAAGCGCAAAATTGCAAAAAAAATCTTAAATTTTGTGATTTACCAATATCTTAATGAAAACCTGATTTTTACAAATACAAACGGATGTAGAATGAAACCTTAACAAAATTAACATAGATTCACTTCCTGAATCAATATGACCAGCAAAACAACATACTTAAATAAGTTAAATGAGTGAAATCGTCAAGACGACTGTTTATAGGAATTTCCGTTTTAAATAACAATTTTAACATGTGTGTTCATTTGTTCTATTATCTTAAAAACCATGATAATTATATAGAAACCCAGCTACGAAGTAGCCAAAACAGTTAGGTTTTGTTTGTGTTTCAATACTTAGATTAGAGGAATATGGAAATCAATTTGTGCTTTTGTATGTCACTTTAGTTCAATTTCGTCACATGAACTTAAAATATAACTGATGTATTAATGACGCACAAGTCAATAGTTTAACTCATTTTAATATGTAGTCCTGAATCTTTTATTTCAAATTTTATTGCAGAAGGTTGCGCATGTGATCAACAGGTGATTAATTTTCTGAAAAGAAAACAATGTCAATATGTGTTAGAATACGTGTCACTTAGCAAGTTATTTTTAAAACTGTTGCAAAATGGACAATTACTTTTTCCTTTTATAATATTGTTGATTATAAAATTGAGGGCAAAAGAAAAGCAGCCACTCAACCGAAAAAATATAAGGCTGTTGCAAAAATAACTATAAACTAAAAACAGTTACTTTATTTCAGTATCAATATTTGACAAACAATAATAAACGACAGATGTTATTTATAGCTTAGCAAGAAATTCCAAACACTATAAATAGGATTTCGGAAATCAAAGTTTTAAAATAGCTATACTTATCATCCAATGTGTTTGCGTTGACGATTTTGTTCAACAGTCCAACAAACAGGTTTATGAAATTATTTTCTATATTTGTGTGTCTGTAGAAATGTTAGTTTTTCAACACGTGATCATCAGTTTATACACAAATGGACAATTTAACTTGATATTTCTTTTACCATTGATTACAGGTAAAAAAAGGTATGTAAAATATTTTCTCTATTTGTGTGTGTGCAGAAATCTGTTTCAAATCGATTCATCTGGCGCTTAACATTTCACTTCCAAATGTTATTTGAAAAAAATTTAAAACAACACGTTTAATAATTTCATGCGTCCGAAGCGCTTTTTCTGGATTTACCTTCATCAGGAACGCTCAAAGCCAAACATTTGAAATCCGGGGGATGTACAAGTACCGAAACAGTTGAAGAGCTATATGACAAAAATACCTAAAACAAATAGCCAAATTCATCTAAGGTCAACTTTGCCTGAGGGAGTTGAATCCTTAGTTTCTTTATAATTTGAAAATTTATAAACGGACAATTTTGGAAAGGTTTGTTATAAATCATGTCAGTACCGAAGTACTGACTACTGAGCTGATGATACCCTCGGGGACTGATAGTCCACCAGCAGAGGTATCGACCCAGTGATGTAAAAAAATTGAAGACAACACGTTCAATAATTTCATGATTGGATTTACCAGAAAATGCAAACTCTTTATCACACCTAAGAAAGATCGATAAACCCGTTCAATATTATAATTCAAATGCATTAAACTGTAATAGGCCTTTTAAAACTTTGCAAAAATGCTTCACCTTTCCAATATTACCTTGATTCGATGGACTTTTTTTTATCAAAACCAATTTGTTTATTATTGTAATATGTTTCAACAAATGTTCGTTCCATGATTTGATATCGCATTTTAAATCAACTTCTTTTTGTCTATGCTTTCAACACAATATGATGTATCTATAGTTGTTGTGTAATTCAACTCAGAGGTCTGGTCGTTCATATACATGTTAATAACAATTTTCTTTCAATCACAGAAAACAATTTTCAAAAATGATAGCCGACCTGAAAATCCATTTAACTCTTCGTTTCAGTGTTTATTAATCAAATATCACCAAAAAAAAAAAAAAACACCAACAATATATGTTAGGAATTCTTTTTCCTGGAGTCGTTATTTAAGCATAATTTAAGTATTGTTGAGTTGCTTTTGCTTACAAAGTGAGAATTTCAAGGACTATAGATCGTGTTCAATCGAGACCAGTGAACCGTTATATACTACGGTCAAAAATTTGTCTTGAAAGTTACACAATAAAAGTATACTTGGACCGTATTTTTATGACGAATAAATGATTATACATCATTTACCACAACTATGATGAAACATGACATTCTCATTAACATTTGTAAAAGGTAGAAGGTTTTGAGGAATTCCAAGAGACTTATTCTGATTGATTGTCACTCTTTGGTGTCTCCAAACGAGAACAAGCAGTACACTCTATATACACTGTTTATTGTTATTATTAGTGTCGAATAAAGCAATGGTTCAGTTTGTAAAAGGTAGATGTTATGCTGAATACGGGTGTTATTGAATTTAAAGACTTATTCAGATTCTTTCTCATTAAACGAGAACAAGCAATGCACTTTACCATGTAAGGAATATGAAAGTTGTTTTCTATTCGATTGATGTGTTCGAGCTTTTGATTCTGTCAATTGTTAAGGGACTTTCCGTTATTTTGTTGCATTACTTTTTATATACGCTAATAAGTGTAGTTTGCTGTCGAAAAACAAATTGGTCAGTCAACTAATGATTGTCATTATCAACGTGTTTATACTGACATGAGCAACACGACAGGTAACATATGTGGAGCAGTATCTGCTTACCATTTCGGAGCACCTGGGATATCCCTCGTCATTTGGTGGAGTTGATATTGCTTAAGTGTTCTATGTTGTGTTTTGTGTAGTGTAAGTGTTTTGGTCATGTTTTTTTTCCAAATGGCTTTGTCCGGAGTCAGGAGCCTGTAATTTAGTGGTTGTCGTTTGTTTATGTGTTAAATATTTGTTTTTCGTTAATTTCTTGTACATAAATTAGGCCGTTAGTTTTCTCGTTTGAATTGTTTTACATTGTTATTTCGGAGCCATCTATAGCTGACTATGCGGTATGGGCTTTGCGCATTGTTGAAGGCCGTACGGTGACCTATAGTTGTAAATTTCTGTGTCATTTGGACTGTTATGTAGAGTTGTCTCATTGGCAATCTTTTTATATTGTCAGTTTGGTTTCGACTTATGCGTTTGAATATTCGTTCATTTTCTTTCGCTTCTATTTAAGTTTGTTTCGATTTGTTTATTGGAATGATTCAGTAGCATCTAAAAATATTGGACGAGTTTGATTCCACTGAATAGTAAATTGATGAATGACATTGTTTTTTAAATCATAGATATAAAAATTGTCATTCATTCATCAATTGCTTCTAAAACAAACTATGCGAATATAGATTATTGAAATAACTCTTGATATCATTTAGATAAAATTTTGGAAGGTTTGGAAAAATCTGTCGACAGTCCTGAAAGGCATTTAGTCAGTCACTTTCGGTAATCCCGAAAATTGCGACTATGGAAGGTGTTTCAATCAATGCTTTCAAAACTTTATCAATGTTTAGCTTTCTGCATTTGAAACGGTATTATTAACACACATTTTGGGTCCTCAATGCTCTTCAACTTTAAACTTGTTTGGCTTTCTAACTATTTTGATCTAAGCGTCACTGATGAGTCTTATTTACACGAAACGCGTGTCTTGTGTATCGAATTATAAGCCTGGTACCTGTTATAACTATAAGAGCATTAATGTACATCATATTTGTTTTTTCTCCATACCATTGAATGATGCTATGTAGAATTACTCAAAATGATGTAAAGCCTTTTCCTATAATTTGATTGATGATAAATATCTTACTGTAGCTGCAACAATGACATTACCAGAAATTTATTTTGAGAAAAGCCTTCAACAAAGAACGCCACGTCAATTTATGTATGGGGACATACACATTTATTCTTGTATTAAAAACACGGTCTGATAGATTTTTAATCTTAAACTTGAAAAACAATCTAATATTGACTATATTCAGAATCATGAAGTTGTGAAATTTTTGTTTAGATCACTCTCATGAAATTGAGAAAAGACCGTAACGAAAACAATACGGATTTTAAAGCAAGGAAAAAAAAGCAACCACTCATAAAAATATAATGTTGACGCATTATTGATTATGGAATGTCATGTTTCAGAATAGAAACCTTTGTTCGTCCCATTCTTTATAGTTAAGGATGCATTCTTCTGTGGTTTCAGTCTCGTTGAAATGTTGTTCGGAAATATTTTCTTAACTATGTAAAAATATCGTAATCAAACTAAACACTGTGTAATAATTTTGTACTTAAAATAAGTAGTTTCGAGTGTTACAATTTGCAAATTTTATAACCAATCTGGTAAGTGTCAGACAAAATGTTGAGAAAATAGGTGAGGGTACAAAGTTTTTTTCTTTTCAAAATTCTTAGATATGTAATTTTTAAATCATTTTATATGCTATTTGTTCTAAAAAAGATAAAATTCCAAATTGACAGCATGATCAATTTGACACGTAAAAGTTACAAGATGTTATAAAACTTTCTAATATCAACCCAACCTTTTTTCATTTAAATGTTTTCACATTGGTCCAGTCATAAGACCAACAGAACATGTATGAAATTTCGAATAATCATTTGCCGAGAAAAAGATATTTCACTAGTGAGTAGAATTTTTTTCCTCACACCTTTTAAGAAATGTGAAAATATCACAAACGATAGAGAAATAAATGTTTAAAACATAATCTTCAATTTGCATGTTCAGATTAAAAAGCAACCCATTGCTTATCATACCGTCTTCGTCACTTGATGTTTTTTGTCATCTTGTCAAAGTAGTTAAGAACAGGTGAATAACTTTGATAACTAATTAATAAGTTGCAATATATGTTAAATGAAAAGTAGTGTGCGCAAAATACCTCAATTTCAAATACTACTAAACTGTCAAAATCAGCTGTTAACTCAATACTCTAATTTGAAACAGACTATATTTTCTGAAAATGTTAGAAATTAGAAGTCAATCAATACACTCAAGATATGGTACATATGCATACAAATGTGAAAGTAAACAAAAATGGCCTTCTAGTTGACAAGTAGGATCTAGGATAGTTCAAACATTATGAAAGGATAAATATGTATTAAATAGGATGGACTTTTAACATCTGAATTAGCTAATTTATGTTATAACTATGACATATCAGTTCGCGTAATAAGCAACTGTGCAGAAGTGAAAGTAAGTATCACGTAGTTTCGTTAGAAATTGATAAATTTCAAAATTATAAAGAAACTAAGTTTTTAACTCCCTCAGGCAAAGTTGACCTTAAATGAATTTGGCTATTGTTTTAGGTATTTTTGTCATATAGCTCTTCAACTGTTTCGGTACTTATACATCCCCGGATTCAAATGTTTGGCATTGAGCGTTCCCGATGAAGGTAAATCCAGAAAAGCGCTTCGGACACATGCAATTATTAAACGTGTTGGTTTTAATTTTTTTGCAGAATAATATATGCCTGGAAATGAGAATGAAATGAATGAATAAAGTTTGTAATCATAGACTTTCGTTGATGATCTCAACGAGATTTATTTTCTCGCTTCAGCCGGTACGGCGAAAGTGAGAAAAGCAATCGAGTTGAGATGATCAATGATAATCTGTTTATCGCTATTTTCCTTATGATGACGTTATCAATTTCATGCCAATTTCAATAGGAACGCCACGTGCCCCCTTAGTTTCTGGCGATAATCACTCGACTCCGCTGAGAAAGGAAATTATCAGTCGGCAAGATCAAAGGACAATTTCGTAAAATAGCGATAATTAAAATCATACCTTTAACAATCGTGAAACAACACAGCAGAAAACTAAATATGGGTTTATTATCATATTATACACATACAGTCTGTGCAAAAAAAAAGAAGAGATATATACTTGTTATTAACGTCTTTTAAAACTTTGAGAGTGTATGATATTTAGAAAGGTCATTAGGTACCGGTTACCGACATTTCAATGCGAGTAGACCTAATTATCTTTTGAATTTCTGTGTCGATTGCTTGCTGTCCTGTGAAGGAATGTCTGTAATCCTTATTAATCGACCTATTATATTATTGGCTATTGTTGAAGTATTTCAATCACTATTTTCTAACGACCAATACATTGATTGTTCATAGATATAAGATGTGGCATTAGTGCCAACGAGACAACTCTCCATCCAAACAAGTAAAAACAAGTGTTCTTGGTAAATTGTAAGCACGTTCATTTAGTAGTCCATCATGCATTAAATTCATTAATTGATATTATGTTAACAAAAAATGTATTTGTGGGAATATTATCATTATGCTAAGTTAGGCATACCCGTAAAAGACAGTGTACCTGACCTGTACAAGAAATCCCTAACATTTTCAAATGAATACAAATTAAGTTTATCCTGATGCTATCTGATACTGATAGCACATGTCCTTTCATCTGAATATGAACGTTTTCCATGTGATTTTTTTTAAAGCAAAATCAAAATTCTTTGAGCATTTATTTGCACAATTCACCGATATAACAGTTTTTGTGTCAAATATACTTTTATTAACCGCTATTACTTAATAGTTAAGTTATCAATCAAAATTTGTTCACGCATACTGTCAGGAACAAAAAAGTGTTTGTTATATTATAGTTCGTTTCTGTGTGTGTTGCATTTTAGTGTTGTGTTAGTGTTGTGTCGTTGGTCTCCTATTACATTTGATGTGTTTCCCTCAGTTTTAGTTTGTAACCCGGATTGGTTTTTTTCTCAATCGATTTATGAATTTCGAACAGCGGTATACTACTGTTGCCTTTATTTGTTAAGCTAATCCATTTGTCTCAATATGATATTTGGTAACACTTTACGTAACTAAAATATTGAATACAATCGAAGGTATTTCCGCCCGAAACGATATATTGTGATAGGAAAATATTACAATCCGGTTGAAGTTAATATTTCCAGTGCTAGATGATAGCTTATTGTACGCTTATTAAAAAAATGTATAGATTCTATACACTTTTGTTTGAATTAAGGACAATAATCTGTTACTCCCGGTTTGAAAAATTATAATTCCATTATGATGTGATAGACTACCTGACACTGATTCCAAAAATATATGGTTTAGTTATTTTTTCAGTCCAGAAAACATCTACTGTTGGTTTACCCAATGTCACTTCCGGTTGGATATTTCAAGGTCATACGGCTTGCAGCATTATGCAAAAAGTCCTCTGGTTTTATGATGTATAAGTATGAATGTACAGCAAAGGTCAAATTCTACGTCAAATTTACCTATGACCTTGATCTCAATTCCTAGGTCATCAAGAGAGATCTCTTTTCAAGAGAAATAATGTCTCTACTATGTCCTGTTAAAAAATTTAAGCGACATCTTTTGAAACACCAATACAGAAAAAAATAGGCGGAAGAAAGACAAAAATAATAATTAGGACAAAAACAAACGGGTTTTCCACGGAGAAAGGAAAAGACCTTATAAAAAAGAATAAAAACCAGAGAAGAATTGAAGGCCTTTACCCCAAAAACCCCGTATTTTGATTTGAAAATAATAAAATCGAGATTAAAATGTCATTTCTAATGTCAGATGATAGCTAACCGTGCGCTGATTACTTCAGGTTTGAAAAATGCGACTTCCTCTATAATATGGTAGTTTTCTTGACAAAACTGTATAGTTGCATTTACTTTAACATTAAACATATATAAAAAAAAAATCAGCTACCTCTTTTGGTTTGCTTTTTCAAGGTCATATGGTTTGCAACATTATGCAAGAAGTGCCATTGGTTTATCATGTAAACATGTAAAGTTTAAGCCAAGTTCAAAATCTTGAATGAAACATTTACCTATAACCTTGACATATATATCAAGGTCATAAAGTAAGGACCTCAAATCAAAAGACACTATATACGGTTAATGAATTATATCACCATACACCTAATATGAGAGGGAAACAAACTCCCATGTCATGTCAACGTACCCGTTCAACCAAAATTTATGTGATACGACATGTCGCATAAAACAATTTAGTAATGCGTCCTTTCATTTTGACATTACTCAATATTGTTGTTCCATGCATAAAAATACAAATACTGAGGTGAAAAAGATAGACAATCTCGCAATTGTCGTGTATACATCTTTCTTTGCGTACGTATCTTACCGTAAATTATGCACAATTTAACGAGATAAGTTTTACTCTTTTAAACAATTTACCGTGCATTTTTACTCTATTCATTTCTCTATCCATCTAGAACGAGTGTTCGACAAATATTACATCCCACAATCAAAAATAGTTACGTAACAAATAAAGACACAGAAATCCTACCATGTCACTACCTGTAGGTGTTTCGTTTCGTACTGAATATTAGATACTATCGAGTCCATGCATTTTTTTTACCGGGATTTATTTTTCATTTATATGTTTCAGAGTTTAGTGTGATGTCTATTTCGCGGAATTAGTATTATTAGTTACATAGTGTGCTAGTGACCTTATATGATACATATGGGGTCTGTAAACTCCATAAGGGCATATCAAAGTGATCATGTCTTCAATACCTTTAGTATCAAGAACCTACTTCCATTAGTGTATATAAAAACAAATGCCAACAATAACAACTTGTTAGATTCAAATGTGTTTTTTGAATTTATTTCAATCGTTCATCATCAATTTCTTCGTCCGTTGAAACCTTTGAGATTTTTCCTCAACACGGTGTTGTTTTTATAAATGTACATAACACCACTACTAACCCTGTTATGAAATAAGCTCCGCATACTAACCCAATATGGAACCCTACTAACCCAATATGGAAAATACACGGTAGCTTTCAACAAATCATATTCCTAGAAATGTATAGAGGTAAGATAAATATATTTATTTTCTCTCGTAGACAATACTATAATGTTATCTTCGCAACTAACTTGTTTGTATTTGTTTATTGTAGGTCTTCATCAGATATGAATCCATCTGTTTTTTATTTTTATTTTCCCCTGCTGATGCTTATACTGCAATTGGCATGTGAGTTCATAGTTTTGTTTCTAATACGGTCAATTCAGAATGTATTTCGAGGTATTTATAAATGCGAAAATTGAGATTGGGTGAGTAGCGCATTAATATGAAATCACGTTTTGAAAACTCATATATACATTTGTATGCAGATTTCCCTGAAACCGTTCTCTAACTTTTAACCATTCTTTAAAAATTGCAAGTATAATACATGAACTCATTTATTTCTGCATTTGCAGCACAGATACACAGAAAAAAATCATGCTGGAAAATAATGATCGCTTATATTATAATTGCAGAAAGAAACATATTGCTTAATATGCCAGTAGGTCCATCAAGGTCACCATAATTTCGATTTATTTGAATATTTTGTTTTAATCAGTCCAGTTAATTAGATTGTAAGTGGGGGATTTGGGGGGGGGGGGGGGGGTACTAAAAATGGACAACAAATGACTTCCATCCATAGTCGGAATGAGATAAATCTACATAAGATCAAATATCAAATATTTTCAGAAAAATTACATGATCTACATCAACGTAAATTATACATGAACACTGTATTTTGTTTGCAGTGTGTATGGCTACTCGGTAGTTTTCATGTTTACAACAAGCTAAAAAATGTAAGATCAGTACAATTTCTTTAAAGTTCTTTACAATAGAAACATAGCTTTGTTTTCTGCTCTTTGGTCGTGTTTTTGTCTCTTTGACATATTCCCCATTTCCATTCTCAACTTTATTGGTTAACACGTTATTGATTTCATAAACCCTGATCAAACAGAATAAGGTTTTGGTGCTAGGCATGCATCAATCTAATGGTTAAGTAGCTGATAAATATTCTTTAAAATGATATAAAAAGATCTATCGTTACTGTTTGAGATTTCATTCCATATATGTATTACATAATGCTACATTTTGATTCATTTGTATTTCTGATAAATATGATTTATAATAACATATTGATGGCAAGTTAAAATATGTTGCTATGTAACCAAAAATCATACTAACAAACAGCAGTTTAAAAATGATAATAACATACAAATTTGTATTTTGTAAAAAACTTGTATACCTATTCTAATGAAATTATAAAAATCAATTGATTTGAAGAGGGGACCAAATAATCGGTCATAAATGTACCTTGTACTTTGATGCATTTAAGTTTTGTATAATGCATAACGTATGCAAAAACATCATCAGCTTGGAAACAAGATGTCAGGTTACTGAATATCAATAAAATTCGATTTTATGTAGTTATCAAAGGTACCAGGCTTATTATTTAATACGTCAGACGCGCGTTTCGTCTACATAAGACTCATCAGTGACGCTCAGATCAAAATAGTTATTTAGCCAAACAAGTACAAAGTTGAAGAGCATTGAGGACCCAAAATTCCGAAAGGTTGTGTTAAATACAGCTACGGTAATCTATACCTGGGATAAGAAAATCCCTAGTATTTCGAAATTCATACTTTTGTAAACAGGAAATTTATAAAATGACCACATAATTGATATTCATGTCAACACCGAAGTGCCGACTACTGGGATGGTGATACCCTCGGTGACGAAACATCCACCAGCAGTGGCATCGACCCAGTGGTGTAAATAGAAAATAAGACTCATCAGTGACGCTCAGATCGAAAAAGTTACTAAGCCAAACAAGTACAAAGTTGAGGAGCATTGAGGACCCAAAATTCCAAAAGGTTGTGTCAAATACGGCTAAGATAATCTATGATACTATACATTCTACGTTCTAGAAAGTAGGAGCACTCTTACTTTATTTGTATACAGTTCGACACTACTTGTAGATTCATTAAGATGGAAAGTAGAACACAAAGTGACTGACTATGGACAAAACTTAATATTGTTATGCAGCGTGTCTAACAGTTGTTTGAAAGATGCAGGATGGTATTTATGGACTCCTACAAAACGCACAATTTTTAAAGACGTCAAAACTACTAGTTTATCAGCTCCACCGAAGTATTCAGGATATGTTCGAACAGATGGTTTTACTCTTATCATAAAGAATCTTACACTAGCTGATATGAACGTTAGTTACTCTTGTGATTATGGATTGCAGTTAGGAGACAATATAGTTTTACACAAAGATGATGTTTTCAAAAGTATGTAAAATAAATATATTGACCATCTCTTTTCATTAATCCATTTTGAATGTCCTTCCAATTTTCTAACTCACTCGTTCAATGGAATGAATACGAAGTCGAAAACTGTTATACACTCTAATAATTTGACATGTCAAAAACTTGTTTTAACATATTAATATTATTCCTGCGCACGAAAGAAGTTAATCAAAAAAGGCAAGCAATGGATCCTTTGGTTAAATATATGAAAGTGATTTGCATTTAAACAGAAATTGGGATCGCAAAAAAAAACCCCCGAAATCCATGTCACATCTGTCATACTTCTGCACATTCCTTATTTGTCCTTTTTTCCTTCTATTTGACATACGTTTCAAATCACTTAAAAACAATGCTAAGAAAACCTTCAAAGACAGGAAGAATTTTCAATGACTCAAAGCTTTACACGTTTTTATGTGACATCTCGATGTCCATTATATAATGACGAATTGAATAGCGATTATAACACTTATATTTGAGAAATATGCGTTTCGCAAATCAATAAATCGCGAAAGAAATAATAACAAACAGATGTAAGAACAACACACATTTAATAATTTCATTATACCTGATGATCTCTGATTCACTATAATATATTGAACCCATATACATGGATTGTTTTCATTAAATTCAAAAGTGCATGTATTCTTTGATTTGTTTAGATGACAGATCTGGACTAAGTATCAATGTACTGTAAGTACTTTATTTTAAGTATCAGTGTATTATTAATTCTTTATTTCAAGTATCAGTGTATTTAAAAAAGAGGGACGAAAGATACCAGAGGGACAGTCAAACTCATAGATCGAAAACAAACTGACAACGCCATGGCCAAAAATAAAAAGACAAACAGACAAATAATAGTACAGATGAAACAACATAGAAAACCAAAGACTAAGCAACACGAACCCCCTCAAAAACTGGGGGTGATCTCAGGTGCTCCGGAAGGGTAAGCATATCTTGCTCTACATGTGGCACCCGTCGTGTTGCTTATGTTATTACAAATCCGGTAAAAAGTCTAATTCGGTAAGTCACATTCGTGAAAAAGGAGGGTATTGTAGTTACGACATAAGGAACATATCCGATATGATCTGTGAAACGGTTATTCCATAACGGTCAACCAACTCGTGATGGCGTCCGTAAAATTTACGAAGGGATGACTTCAACTTCACCATTTGGAACTCTTGGTTTTATAGCTTCCTTGTGAGCAGCAATCCTCTATCAAGGAAATCATGATAGGAAACACAAGCCCGGGAATATCGTATCAATTGGGAGATATATACTCCGTATGCAGGCGCTGCTGGAATGTTGCTAAATAAAAATGGAAAGTTCACAATTGGGAAGCTGAAATCATCACTTTTGTCGTAAAGTTTTGTTTTCAACCGACCCTCATTGTCAATTTCTAGATGTAAGTCAAGATATGAGGCAGACTTAACTGTATCTGTAGTATCCTTTATCTCTAGTTCGATGGGATAGATTCGTTCAACATAGTCACCAAATTTTGTATTATTTAGTGAGAGAACATCATCTATATAGCGGAACGTAGAGTTCAAGGATATAGCTAACTTCTTATCTTTCTTCCTAGTAAGTTCCTGTATGAAGTCAGCCTCATTATAATAAAGAAACAAGTACTTTATTTTCAGAAAAACGAGCTGCAACTAATGAGAATTGCTCACGCATCCGGAGCACCTGACAAATCCCGCGGTTCTAAGTTTATAAGTATTCTATGTTTCGTCTTGTAAAACTATTCATTTGTTATTGTCATTTTGAATTTTTCTCAAGACGTGAACAGTCAAGGCCATTGCTTTAGGTAGATTAACTTTTCCCCCATTATCTTAGATTGAACAATAGCAGTACACTATCAGACTAGTTCTTTGCCTTAATCTGCATATTGTTAGACAGATTTGCAATTTATCTGTAGGACTGTTTATTTGTATAAAGAAAATGAGTGATTTATCGCATCATTTGAAATGTTTCAAAAGTTAACAAATATTGGTGTATCTTAGAATAAAATTTTCAACTCAGCCATTTAAGGGGAGTTAAAATTTTTAACAAAAGAGGTATATTGGAATAATAGTGAACGTTTTATTATTTCTAATTGTAGCAAGAACACACGTTTGGTGACCCCATTTTTCTTAAATTTTCTTAAAGCCTATTATTAAACCTATCTTCTCATATTTTGTTTTCACTTTATTTTATAATTTCTTTTAATACACAGAACTGGTTTTTTTTTTAACAATGAATGAAAATGTCGGCAATTTTGCATGACTTGTAGTTTGAAAAAAAGCACGGTGACCAATAACTTTTATTTTATTTAAAAAAAAAAAAGCTAAGTTAAATTTTTTTCGCAAAGTATAAGAAAATTCTATCTATGGAAATATATACCGATGACATGCTATAAACAAGAAAATATCTAAATTATCTATAAAAATAAATTATGAAAACGAGGCTATTTCAAGATATTACTTATATAAGAAACTTTATAAATTTTATTTCATAGGTGTCTTTTCAAACAGATTATACTAACTTTAACAAATTTCCACAGTCCTCTGGTTATCCTTACTGCTTTTCTGACTAACTTATATTTCAAATCGACTCTTATAGGTCAAAGATCGATCTCCTAGGACTATTGTTATATCATTTTCTTTTGAAAACTTGAAGGTAGGCATATATAAATTGAAAGACACTTGTATTTTATTAAGACTTGAAGTTATTCATAATGTGTAATCCAAAACAACTACCTAGTATGTTCCTTAAATAATTAGTCAAAAATGTATGAAATAACTTAATTAAGAAATAGTTTTGTCATTATTTTTTGAGTAACCTTAAATCTCCATATTTCTCTCAAATTTCGTCTATTCCAATATGTTAAACTAGCTGCTATTAATTGACATGGAGGATTTTAACATTTTAAGCTTTGCAATCCAGTTTTAATATATTAACTAATGTTTCTAAAATAAAATCTTTGTACAAGTTTGCAGACACGTCCGGTCAGAATGGGGACGTTAAATCGTGTTAAGAGAGTGCATCGCTCTTTACACGTTAAGAACCATTGCAACAACTCTTAAAGGTGTCTGTTGGTTGCTTATTGCAAGTCAAAATTGCATGCATAAAATATTTGCCACTGAACGTTAAGCAACCAACAACCAATCAACCAATTAGATAAAATCTTCGGATGAATTTCCATCACGATCAAATTAAATATGCCATTAATTAAATTGAGAATGGAAATAGGGAATGTGTCAAAGAGACAACAACCCGACCAAATAGCAGAAACAGCCGAAGGTCAACAATGGGTCTTCAACAAAGTACGAAACTCCCGCTTTTAGAGGTGGGCTTCAGCTAGCCCCTTAACAAAAATGTTTACTAGTACTGCTAATATGGACGTCACACTAAACTCCAAAATATCAATATACACTATTTATTCAGTTTTCAAAGAACAGGCCTGCATTTGTTGCAATATCTGCTGGATCTATTTCAAATCTGTTTCTGAACTCAAAAAAAGAGGGATCTTAATAGTTCCCGTCATACACAATGTGAATCAATTCGAACTTATTACAAAATAATCAACAAAAACAATAGAATAGAGAATTCATCTGTTCCTATTATCATTATTAACATTTACATTTCTTCTACTTCAATAAATTGTTAAAATATTACTTTTCTCAGCGTTCTGATAATTACTGGAGGCTCTGTCCTGACCATTTTTCTGTTAGCAGTTGTCATTTGTATGTGTTCTAGAACGCTATCATATGAACAGGTTGAAACAGACGACCCGTTTAAAGGTAAACTAATTAAATTTTTTCAACAAATGTCAATAAAACTCAGTTCCATTGGATCTTATGATTTAGATATTTGCGTTTTATGCGTTTATTTGGAAAGTTATCACTTTTATTAACATTGTAGCATAAATCAGGGCTTCATTGTCGTGTTAAGACAGACAAGAGCATAGGAGGAATATTGTTGCTATGAAAAAATAAGCAGTGATTGTAATACATGACGCAGATAATTTTTCATTGACAGAAATGAAAGGAGCCTAATCCTTATATCGGTGTCACTTAGGTCAATTAATACGTCAAATTTCCCATTAAAAATATTCTATGTCTAAGTGTTTAACTCACGAAGTGTCACAGTCAATGCATACATTGAGTTAAAAGTGTTTGATAGAAAAAAAAACCAATCAATACCGTTAACAATTTTAATCTGACAGGAACTATATCCGCTACAAAAGCTCAAAAGTCTGAAAAGTCCAAAAACCTGATAATAAATTGTTCAAATAAGGCCTTCGAAAATAGTGGAATTAATTACTTTTGGAGTGTCAAGAACTCGTTGGAAGTACTTGATAAATTACATGCATATATTGGTGATTTTGAATCTGTTCAAAGTTTTGATTTTTCTACCCTATATACCACATTGCCTCACATTCTCATTAAGAAAAAATTCACACACCTAATTAAATGGGCATTTAAAAAGTCAGAATGTGAATATATATGTTCAAACTCTTTTAGGTCATTTTTTAGTAGCAATAAACAAAAAAACTATGTCAATTGGACATGCTTTGATACTATATATGCCCTTGAATTTTTACTAGATAACATTTTTGTTCGCTTTGGAGATTCCGTATATCGTCAGGTTATCGGAATTTCAATGGGGACTAACTGTGCACCACTTATTGCGGACCTTTTTTGTATTGCTATGAGTTACAATTTATGACAAAAATCAGCAAAGACCCATCGAAACAACATCTGATACACAAATTTAATAATACTTTTAGATATTTGGATGATATTTTGGCTCTCAATAATGACGACTTCAGTATGTATACTAAAGAAATTTATCCTGTTGAACTTACTTTAAATAAAGCTAATACTAACAATGACCACTGCCCTTTCCTCGATCTTGATATCTATATCATTAATGGAAAGCTTAATACTAAAATATATGATAAAAGAGATGATTTTTCATTTCCTATCGTTAATTATCCATTTTTAGATGGTAACGTTCCCTTGTCAACATCTTACGGTGTTTATATATCTCAACTTGTACGATTCGCTCGTGTATGTAACAATGTTTTAGATTTTAACGAGAGAAATTTATGTATTACGGAAAAATTATTACACCAGGGTTTTCGATATCACAAACTAGTCAAAACATTTACTAAATTTTATCATCGGTATAAGGACATCATTCGTAAATATAGCTCAACATGCAGACTTCTTATACGTTCAGGTATTTCACATCCAATTTTTTATGGAAATATTCTTTATAAAGCACAAAAATGTCAGTATTCACCTCTGAAGCTAACAAAACCTTTAAATAGACTCATTAAAGATTGCATATTTTGGCGTTAATATTGATTCACTTATAGGGTCTTTGCATCGGCACTAAACACATTTATTTAAAAACCAGTTGTTGATATGACACGGGTTATGTTCTTCTCATATATGTTATGATGGTATGATACTAATCCCCTAACGGGAAGGATTGTGCCTGATATTCATATGATGAAGACATAATCTTTCAATCAGTTTAATTGAAGTCTGGAGCTGGCATGTCAGTTAACTGCTAGTAGTCTGTTGTTATTTATGTATTATTGTCATTTTGTTTATTTTCTTTGGTTACATCTTCTGACATCAGACTCGGACTTCTCTTGAACTGAATTTTAATGTGCGTATTGTTATGCGTTTACTTTTCTACATTGGCTAGAGGTATAGGGGGAGGGTTGAGATCTCATAAACATGTTTAACCCCGCCGCATTTTTGCGCCTGTCCCAAGTCAGGAGCCTCTAGCCTTTGTTAGTCTTGTATTATTTTTAATTTTAGTTTCTTGTGTACAATTTGGAGTTTAGTATGGCGTTCATTATCACTGAACTAGTATATATATTTGTTTAGGGGCCAGCTGAAGGACGCCTCCGGGTGCGGGAATTTCTCGCTGCATTGAAGACCTGTTGGTGACCTTCTGCTGTTGTCTGTTCTATGGTCAGGTTGTTGTCTCTTTGACACATTCCCCATTTCCATTCTCAATTTTAATTGTTGTCTCAAATTGCATGAACAATTACTCGACATTCTCCAAGAGCATATCTTGTGTCGTAATTTGTCTTGACAATTTCTGATTTATATTAAATTATTAAGAAATTTACTCCACATATTATCGACATTCATTATATGGTCTTAACATTTCTTGACAAATTCTCGACATTTGAAGACTGTCTTGAAATTTGTCGACAGGTTCTCGACATTTTTTTTTATTTCTCAGTATGGCTTCACATATTCTGGACATTTGAATGATGTCTTCAATCTACTTGACAATTCCGAGCTTTACAATCATGGCCAATATACATGATCAATCTTTATATGTATTTCTCTTAATAGAATATACAGTTTTTTCAAGTTACAACAAAAACGAAAATTGGGCATGTAAATAATTTTATAATTAGAAATTTGGGAAAAATGAAAATTTTTATAAATACAAATATAGGTTCGAAAATCTTAACAAATACAAATGTGAGTATGTTGATATAAACCAAATTAAAGGTGGTTTTGTCAATGATTAAAAATGTTGATTTATAAATCTTATACATAATTGACACACTATACTGTAGACACATTTCATTTTTTATGAATAACGATCAATGTTAATATGGTAAATAAACAGTTATTGTACCAAAATGTTGCCTTTATATAATAATCAATGTATTATTCATGTTATTGTATCATAATTCATCTAAGTTTAGTTGAGCGATAATAGAATTGAGTATACAACAGCAATAGAAAGTATTAAAACTGTCAGGAATGTGTCTGTACACAATTCAAGCATAATTCATACTGTCGAGATAGTGTCGAGTCATTTTCAAAACCGTCAAAAATGTGTCGAGATATGTTCAAACAGCTTTACGACTGTCAAGAATGTGTCAAGACAAATTCAGACATCATTAAGAATGTCAAGAATATCTCAATTCTGATCGAGACAAATTTCAGACAGTCGAGAATTTGTCGAGACTTATCAAGGCACTGATCAGATGATAAAAAGTGTTTGAGACAATGTTAATACTGTCAACACATTTGTCAAGTATAATCGAATCACTATTTAAGACTTTGTCAAGATTTTTTACAAAAATTGCAGACAAAGATATGATGTCGAGTAAAAATTAATGTAAATTCAGAAAAGAATTGGTCTTTTCAGACTATGTTGTAATTAGATCTTTGAGTATAGTTTACATTGGCACTAATATCGATTTTGTCATCAGCAAATTAAAACATAACTAAACTTGTATTATTTTCAAACGGGATCTATAAAGACATACCCACGTTCGTTTTTATCTACTTTTTCGTACTAGGAACATCAAAATTATTTATTTTGTAAAACTATTGCCTTTCTCCATTTAAAATTATTTTCATTTACCTGTGAATAGTATTGTGGTAAATGGCAGTTTTTATTCAAGGTTGTTGTTTTTCTGACTTTTCACAGCGGTTTGATATTGATACTTGAATTATTCATCCATTAGTTTATTGATTTTGTATTTACATTGTATCAAATTTATTCGTTCAGTGTTTTGATAGAGTAAAACTATTTCAATTGATATTTTATAGTGTGTCTTTATATGTTGTGATGTTACACTGTTGTTTCAGATAAGGGTGAAGGTTTGTTACCATTAAAACATTTAAACCCGCTGAAATAGTTTGTATCTGTCATGAATCTGATGTTCAGTAGTTGTCGTTTGTTGATGTGGTTCATAAGTGTTTCGTTTCTCGTTTTTTATTTAGATTAGACCGTTGGTTTTCCCGTTTGAATGGTTTTACACTAGCCATTTTTAGGGCCCTTTATAGCTTCCTGTTCGGTATGAGCGAAGACTCCCTGTTGAAGACCGTTCTTAGACCTATAATGGTTTACTTTATTAATTGTGTCTTGGACACGTTTGCATTTTAGTTGTTTTTTTTCTTTTTTGCATGCGTTTACAGTTTTTTTTCGACGGAGAAGTTCTGAATGCTCTCTTTGTATTTTCTATTGTTTTATATTAAGATGATATGACACGGGTTATGTTCTTCTCATATATGTTATGATGGTATGATACTAATCCCCTAACGGGAAGGATTGTGCCTGATATTCATATGATGAAGACATAATCTTTCAATCAGTTTAATTGAAGTCTGGAGCTGGCATGTCAGTTAACTGCTAGTAGTCTGTTGTTATTTATGTATTATTGTCATTTTGTTTATTTTCTTTGGTTACATCTTCTGACATCAGACTCGGACTTCTCTTGAACTGAATTTTAATGTGCGTATTGTTATGCGTTTACTTTTCTACATTGGCTAGAGGTATAGGGGGAGGGTTGAGATCTCATAAACATGTTTAACCCCGCCGCATTTTGCGCCTGTCCCAAGTCAGGAGCCTCTAGCCTTTGTTAGTCTTGTATTATTTTTAATTTTAGTTTCTTGTGTACAATTTGGAGTTTAGTATGGCGTTCATTATCACTGAACTAGTATATATATTTGTTTAGGGGCCAGGTGAAGGACGCCTCCGGGTGCGGGAATTTCTCGCTGCATTGAAGACCTGTTGGTGACCTTCTGCTGTTGTCTGTTCTATGGTCAGGTTGTTGTCTCTTTGACACATTCCCCATTTCCATTCTCAATTTTAATTGTTGTCTCAAATTGCATGAACAATTACTCGACATTCTCCAAGAGCATATCTTGTGTCGTAATTTGTCTTGACAATTTCTGATTTATATTAAATTATTAAGAAATTTACCCCACATATTATCGACATTCATTATATGGTCTTAACATTTCTTGACAAATTCTCGACATTTGAAGACTGCCTTGAAATTTGTCGACAGGTTCTCGACATTTTTTTTATTTCTCAGTATGGCTTCACATATTCTGGACATTTGAATGATGTCTTCAATCTACTTGACAATTCCGAGCATTACAATCATGGCCAATATACATGATCAATCTTTATATGTATTTCTCTTAATAGAATATACAGTTTTTTCAAGTTACAACAAAAACGAAAATTGGGCATGTAAATAATTTTATAATTAGAAATTTGGGAAAATGAAAATTTTTATAAATACAAATATAGGTTCGAAAATCTTAACAAATACAAATGTGAGTATGTTGATATAAACCAAATTAAAGGTGGTTTTGTCAATGATTAAAAATGTTGATTTATAAATCTTATACATAATTGACACACTATACTGTAGACACATTTCATTTTTTATGAATAACGATCAATGTTAATATGGTAAATAAACAGTTATTGTACCAAAATGTTGCCTTTATATAATAATCAATGTATTATTCATGTTATTGTATCATAATTCATCTAAGTTTAGTTGAGCGATAATAGAATTGAGTATACAACAGCAATAGAAAGTATTAAAACTGTCAGGAATGTGTCTGTACACAATTCAAGCATAATTCATACTGTCGAGATAGTGTCGAGTCATTTTCAAAACCGTCAAAAATGTGTCGAGATATGTTCAAACAGCTTTACGACTGTCAAGAATGTGTCAAGACAAATTCAGACATCATTAAGAATGTCAAGAATATCTCAATTCTGATCGAGACAAATTTCAGACAGTCGAGAATTTGTCGAGACTTATCAAGGCACTGATCAGATGATAAAAAGTGTTTGAGACAATGTTAATACTGTCAACACATTTGTCAAGTATAATCGAATCACTATTTAAGACTTTGTCAAGATTTTTTACAAAAATTGCAGACAAAGATATGATGTCGAGTAAAAATTAATGTAAATTCAGAAAAGAATTGGTCTTTTCAGACTATGTTGTAATTAGATCTTTGAGTATAGTTTACATTGGCACTAATATCGATTTTGTCATCAGCAAATTAAAACATAACTAAACTTGTATTATTTTCAAACGGGATCTATAAAGACATACCCACGTTCGTTTTTATCTACTTTTTCGTACTAGGAACATCAAAATTATTTATTTTGTAAAACTATTGCCTTTCTCCATTTAAAATTATTTTCACTTACCTGTGAATAGTATTGTGGTAAATGGCAGTTTTTATTCAAGGTTGTTGTTTTTCTGACTTTTCACAGCGGTTTGATATTGATACTTGAATTATTCATCCATTAGTTTATTGATTTTGTATTTACATTGTATCAAATTTATTCGTTCAGTGTTTTGATAGAGTAAAACCATTTCAATTGATATTTTATAGTGTGTCTTTATATGTTGTGATGTTACACTGTTGTTTCAGATAAGGGTGAAGGTTTGTTACCATTAAAACATTTAAACCCGCTGAAATAGTTTGTATCTGTCATGAATCTGATGTTCAGTAGTTGTCGTTTGTTGATGTGGTTCATAAGTGTTTCGTTTCTCGTTTTTTATTTAGATTAGACCGTTGGTTTTCCCGTTTGAATGGTTTTACACTAGCCATTTTTAGGGCCCTTTATAGCTTCCTGTTCGGTATGAGCGAAGACTCCCTGTTGAAGACCGTTCTTAGACCTATAATGGTTTACTTTATTAATTGTGTCTTGGACACGTTTGCATTTTAGTTGTTTTTTTTCTTTTTTGCATGCGTTTACAGTTTTTTTTCGACGGAGAAGTTCTGAATGCTCTCTTTGTATTTTCTATTGTTTTATATTAAGATGATGGTTGACATTTTATGAAAAGAAAACAGTAATATTTGACAGTCAAGATAAATATCTGACAAAAATTATGAAGTTTGTTTCGCAACCTCAATTATAAACTGTAAACAATATATACTAATGACCAAAACAAAACAAAAAAGATTGATATCTATTAAATGATTCATAAATATTCAATATATTGCATGACTTGTTATTTGTTATTTTTTTTATTTAACTTAAACTCTTCTCTTGAGAACGTTTGATACATTAATGAAAAGAGACCAAGAATTGAATTTTGTTTTTGTCAATACAAGGGACTTGCATTATACACTTCTCAAGTCAATTAAATCGAATGTGTGTTAAGGTTCTACCTGGCATTTAGCAAATACTTGTGTCGAATCGTTAAGAAACAAAGATATCGTTTAAAATTACAATATGCATCAGAGGTAGAAATACCAAGGGCACAGTGAATATGATATAGCAAATAAATACACATACGAACAAAAGGAAAGTGAAAAATAATCAATCAGTAGTCGTTAAAGAACTACAGCTAAATGCGCTACGATAGCATACAATGAGTGATATCATGTCCAGTTTGACACTTATAATCGTGGATTGGAATATATGGGTATTCAGCTTTAGATGCAACATGCAGAAGATAAAACGGGAATTCATTGCATGTAGTAAGAATAATTCGGTTGGAAATGGGAACAAGTCTTTTTCCAAATGTTACCTTCTGAACAAGCGTGCTGACCCAATTCCAAACAAAATTTTACTATATTACCTTCCATTTTTTCATGGTATCAGAAAATTTCTATTTGATTCAATAAAGTTGCCGTTGATGTTTGCTTCAGTTTAGTAATAACTAAATTTAAAGTTTATTTTATAGGTGTATGTTTTGTGAATTTCAGGAAAAACAGACGGCATTGGTACAAACAAGTTCATCATATATAACGAATATTGTACGCAGATTGAAGTTTCATTTGTATCTTCTCAACCACAAAAACGCACTGATACAAGTCTCGTGAAATTCGGATATTTGGAAGTGCGCCCAAAACGTACAACAAGAGGAATGAATAATGCTGACATTGAAAGCGGCCAAAACTATGAACTCATATTGAAGAAACCTTTCATAGGTTGTAATGTTCGCGTAAAGTATACACGATACTTTCTACATTATTTTCCCTATCCATGGTACGGACGAATCAGTCTTCAACACATAAGAGGAAATAAAATGGTCTTCACGAAGAAAGGCAAACTAGAATATAAGAGATAAAAGAATAAATCAGCAACAATAACGCTTCAACTTGCAGAACGTTTCAAGGCTAACTCTTGAATTGAATATAAATAAATTGGTACACTAAATTCTCAATAAAGTTTAAGCAGTGTTCGAAAAATATACATTTCAGCAAACATCAAACAGGAATAATGCTTGGCAACATTGATTTACGTGATGTGTCTTTTAATGTTGAGTAGTAGTACAATATATAAGTCTGCCAAAATACAAAAGTGTGATATTTCTATATCAACTAGTACTAAGAAAAATCGTAAAATATATAAGTTAGAAAAACAATGACATGAATGATGAATAAAAATAAATCTGAAAATCAGAATCTCAACAATTATGTATAACATATTTAGTTTATAGAAAAATATACTTTACCCATTTTGGAGAGAAAGTAAGTTATCGTTTGCAGACATTCACATTGTATAAATTAATATAGGATACAGTAGTATACCGATGTTCTAAGGTCATACATCGATTGAGAGAAAACAAATCCGGGTTACAAACTAATTAGGTGTGCAATTAACTTAGAAATCCTAACTGTACAAGTTAATTTCACATGTTTCAGTAAATGAAATCCATATCAAAGACACGTATGGTATTGTATTCATATATCAAAGTGATGGCACTTTCTTTTCCAATGATTTCCTTCATCGTCTATAGGAAACGTGTCTAGAAAGATAAACAAACGGGATTGAAAAGAAGATCACACTGGCTAAGACGTTTTGGAACATTGTTTTTTTTCAATTGCAACCTGAGCATATAAAACTGTACAGAAATATACTCCCATTTAATTACGAACTTCCAGTACTATTTTTGGACAACTGCTTAATCATATGCAGTGACCTGAACAATGACATAGTTCGTTGAAATGCAACAACCACACAGTGCAAATGCAAAGGAAGACCCATGATGACAATAAAAGTAAACATGTATGGAATTAGAATAGTGTTGAAATAATTATACAGCAACACAACTGTCAAAAAGAGGCGAAACATACCAAAGGGACCTTCAAAGCCATAAGTAGAAAATACACTGACAACGCAATGTCTAAACAAGAAATTAACCAATAGACAAACAATAGAACACAAAACACAACATACAAAACCAAAGACTAAGCAACACGAACTCCACCAAAATCTGGTGGTGATCTCAGGAGCTTCGGAAGGGTGATCAGATCCTGGTCCACATGTGGCACCCGTAGTGTTGGTACAAACCCGGTAAAAATCGTTGAAGTAACAAATAGGAACACATTGAAAGTATATGAAAGACCGATGATAACCAAATAAAAGATTTTGATTGTTGTTAGTTATACCTTATAGGTTCATAATAGGTGTAAAAAAAGACTTCTCGTGTAAACAATGAAGAACTTAATAATTAAAAGGTAATGATATTCATAACAAAACATAGAGTTATGCATCATTATTGAACGATTTCTTACAACAAGCTGCAATCACATTGTGGTTGCTAAAAAGTAAACAAAAAAAATACTGAACTCAAAAATCAAAAAATTCAAAAAGGAAAGTCCCTGATCAAATGGCAAAATCAAAAGCTGAAACACATCTAACGAATGGATAACAACTAATTTATACCATTTAGTACATGTAATCATTGGATTACTATTGATTTCTATGTATATAGTTTAAAACAAGACTGATTATTTGTTTATATTTCTTTCCTATATACAATCTATAAAATCATTTACTTTAGAAAATTTATAAATTAGAGGCAACAGTAGTTGTGATTGAGCTTTTGATTTTTTAATTTTATAAAGGACTTTCCGTTTTGAATTTCCCTTGGAGTTCGGTATTTTTGTTATATTAGTTTTTATCGTTGTTTGAAATTCAGGTCATGCATTATCCGCTATACCTTCCTGCGTTGTTGATTTTGTTACCTTGAAAAGCATACTAAAGTACTGCTGGCGATAGTAGACTGTTGAACAACTTCATGTCTAACTTAGAACACTAGTAAACACATTTTAGTCTGAAACGGTCATTTTGGTCTCAGTTCTCAGAAGACTGAACAATAAATATTGTAAAGTCATTTCCAGTGTCAATAGTTGTCAAGGGTACCAGGCTTATAATTAGTTACGCTAGTTTAAATGTTCATACATGGTTGAAGCAAACAACAGTTAAACATTTAATCCATTGAATCTACATCTTTAATTTAATGACTGTAAGGCACCAAATTAGAAGCATAAAATTGAACAAAGGAAATATTTTATTGAAGTAAAAAAAGCTCTATTAGTATATCTGAGAAAAATGTATAATATAAAACCAAATATTTCTAGATATTTGTAATGGTTTGTAAACTCAAGATACAATATGTATAAACACGAAAATTAATATAATTTCTATCAGATAAACATGATAAGTATATACTAGATAATTATAGAATAACTAATTGAAGAATTCAAATAGAGAAATATAATAAACGAGTGATCAAACAACACATTAATTCACGAATGCACGTAGCGCATAAGTTAATCATCGGTGTTGTTCGGTCACGAGTTTAATATTTTTCGATATTTGTATTGTTTAATTAGTTATTCCTTTTATTACATTTGCAAATGCCAGTGTCTATGATATTAAAGTAGAAAATGTAAGGAACTATATTTTTGTTCTACGCATTCACAATTTGTTTCGATCCGACGTAACCGACAACGCCAATTGTTGTATGATGTCAGAGGAGTGAAATAACTACGTTTATTTCACATGTTAAATTATCGGTTCTGATTTCACTGGGAAATCAATGTAATGCACTGCAACCAATGTTATAATGTCAGATAATGATCACGGGTATAAGAAATAAGATATTTTGATTTATAATATTTAAAACAAAAAACAATCTTGCATATAATTGATCGCAAAATAATAAATAATGACTTTGATATATCACATATATCATACAATTAACAAAGGTAATGCATACAATTTTTCATAATAACACCAATTACGAAAAGTTTCAGAGACAAATCACCAGTAAGTCGATTAGTTTGATACTGCTGTGTCCAAAGTTTACAAGAAAAACTTGTTTTCTCTTGAAAATGTCAAACGAACAATGACAGTAGAGTAGAACCGCAAGTAAGGACAAGGAATTATTGTCCAACATTATTATATATATAAGTTTTAAATAAACTTTATTGGGAACAATTAAGTTAAAAATATGTTCTACAATTTCCAGTTTTTCTCTTAAAGATGATAAAAGACAAATAAAGAAGAATAAAACTGCAAGCACGGACAAGAAATCATTGGCCCACATTAATATAATTATTCCTTTCAAATTACTTTTCCATGAAATAAATGAAGCAATTGGAAGTTCTACAATTTCGAGATTTTCATAAATTTTCAATATTTATGACTTTAATCACCACCACATCCACCGCCGCCACCACAACCCCCGCCCCCACGTACCACCACCACATCCTCCACCCCCACCCCCACATCCACCATCGACGCCCCCTTTACCACCACCACCATCACCACCGCCACAACCTCCACCCCCAACGCCACTATCACCAAAGTCTCCTCCAGCACCATCATTACCAGCTTCGAAGTCACCAGTATCGTGTGTATCATACCCGTTATTATTATCATTACCACAATCGTAGTCAATATGATCGATGTCCACGCTTCCACCGTCACCAATGTCACTCCAACTTCCCCAGAATCCACCGTAGGGGGTTGGTCCCCATCCCCATCCCCAACCCCACCCCCAACCTGGTCCATAACCACCAAGCCCATAGCCTATGGCTCCTCCAATGATTACACCTAAAAAATACAGTATGACGGTTTGTCGTACTTCTGATATATTTCTAGGAACATCATTGGTTGAAAGCAAACTCATGGAGACCCTGTATATTTTTGTATTGGATATAAAAAATCAAAACTTTTCGCTTGGATGGGGGAATTGATGTTAAATGATTAAAAATTAATGCAGAAATCACATTTAAGGATAACACATTGTTATTAATATTTTGTTTTGTTTTTGTATAGACCAAAGCAATTAGTTCTAAATATTGAAGACTTGATCAATTTCCTGTGTGACTTGTTTAAATTCTACATATTACGATAGTCGGTAAGATAAATTCTTTACACAGTGTGCTAGTGAACGAATACGATATATACGGTTTCAGTAAATTTCATTTGGGGTGAGAGTAAAGGAGTAGGTTCGAAAAAACCCTAAAATGACCACTATTTCTCGTTAACATTTGAAATTATGATTAATTAACGAATATTACAACAAATCATAGCTAATACAATGACTTTTTGTTTTTTTGTTGAAAATTAGCGCTCTATTACTGACGTCACAAATAGCAAACATGAAAAAATAAGGAAAATGAATACATTTCCATCGATTTCTTGGACAAATACATAGAGCAGAAAGGTTACAATAAACCATTAGATTGTATGGGCGCAGCCATTTTATGAAGATAATATGGTATTCAGAATTAAGAGTATGGCTAATCCTGATTGGTTGATATGTGGGCCTGTTATTTCTCATTAATAGAGACTTCCTGCATTCTGCATTATACTAAAGGCCAAATAAATTATTTTCCTTAGCCCTAACGGAAAGGAGATGTCTTTTCAACGCTAGGATGAGACACGTATTTTTAAGTGCGAAATTGATAGGCATGGGAGATAAGTACAAATCACGTTAAGAAAAAGCAACGCGAACCTATATTTTTTGGACCAAAAAATACTGTCCGAACAACTTTTCTTTAATTCTAGCAAGGTTTCGTTAAAAAATCAAAGTTAAAGTCTTTATCTCGAAAAAGGCTATCATTGTCGCCTATGGGGAAATTAATTGTTTAATCCAATCTAAAGGTCGACAAAAAAGATCTTTTAAGATAATCTTTATATCGACATTTCACATATCTGACATAAATACTTAGTTTGTCGACACCTGCACGCTATGATTGGCAGGCCTTAAAGTGGTTGAAATCAGTACTATTTTGTCAAATTTAAAAAAAACTTTTACTTATCTAGGCTGTAAAAAAAGCACTTCACAATAAATCTTTGACAAAGTTATCTTATTTAACTTTCTCACATAATAATTCATCATCTTTAAACATTGTTTATCCCTAAACATTGAAATTAATAATCGGAGAACCAAATGTGGCCCTTACAGACATGACAAATAACTACCCCATTATATATCGGATTAGGTCACTTTCAAACTGTTTAACTAATGTTCACTATAATTTGTTTTCATACCTATGATATGTTTTTATATTGTTATCAACCCGAATAACGCAGTAGATACATTTGCTGCTATCCGACGGTTTCATTAACCTCGTGAGTGGGCAAGACCATCACCTCAAAGTTCTGAATTATTCGGGTTACACATGTTATATTGCTAAACTAAGTGTCTTTTTATGCCCTAAAACGTTTAAAAGGCAATATTTCATCAGCATTTTATTTGAATTTTCTTGTATTTTGAATTAGTAAGGAAGTCTTGTTTTCAAGGTTAAATTCGTCGTGTTTCAAGGTTAACTTCGGTGTTCTGAAAGTTAATTCAGTCGGTTTTCAAGGTTAACTGAGTCGTGTTTTCAAGACGACCTTTTCTTTTTAAAAATTGATTTCATTACAAATTGGATAATTGTATGCTTTTAAATGCTTGTTTGTATAGAAAAGGAGACGAATGTCTACAGAACAATAAAAAACCCAGGCAAAACTAACCCTATCAACAACAAATAATGAATTAAATGATGAAAATGTTTATGTAAAGCTTGCTTGAATTTCAAACAGTCATATGATACTCATACAATTACACTACAAACTGCTCAGAGTCTGAAAAGGCCATATTTTGTGCTCAATCAAGCACAGATATTACTTGACTAGTCTCGACATTGTCTCGCCAGCACTTAACTGTACTTAACTGTTCTCGACTTTACTTTACTTAATATGTCTGATTCAGTACTTGATGATCCTGGTGTAGTCTGAAATGGTCTCGACCAAGGCTCGACCAGTCTCGATAAGTCTCGACCTGTGTCGACTCAGTCTCCACTAGTCTTGACCAGTTTCGACCTGTCTTGACCTGTCTAGACCTGTCTCGATTAGTCGTGACCTTCAAATTTAGTCTTGACTGGTCTGAATCAGCCCATCTAACTAAATTAGTTAAATATAGATCTAACTAAATTCCAGTTTATTTGGTAGTTCGGTTCATTGCTGCGAAATTAAAGAATTTAATTAATAGGTAAAAAAAAATTGATTAAAATCAGATAGTCTTCTTTATTTATTTCTACTTTTTCAAATCAACTTGGACTTTCATAAATATCTACAGCTTTCTCAATCATAATTTGATCTTACAGAATGCCAGGTTGTATGGTAGTTTGATTTATTGCTGTCATATTTGAGAGCTGTAGAGATTTATGAAAGTCCAAGTTGATCTGAAAAAGTGATAGAAATAAGTAAAGATGACTATCTGAATTTAATCAACTTTTTTACCTGATTCAGACCAGTCAGGACTAAATTTGAAGGTCATGACTATTAGAGACAGGTCGAGACTGGTGGAGCCAGGTTAACACTGGTCAAGCCAGGTCCAGACTGGTCGAGCCTTGGTCGAGACCATTTCAGACTACACCAAGATCATCAAGTACTGTATCAGACTTATTAAGTAAAGTCGAGACCAAAGTCGAATACAGTTAAGTTCTGTCGAGACAATGTCGAGTCTAGTCGAGTAAAATCTGTGCTTGATTTTACTGGTCGAGCACAAATATGGTCTTTTCAGACTCTGAGCAGTTTGAAGTGTTAGTTTATTTTCTTACCAGTTGTAAAGTCTGTGTTGCTTCGTCCCTCTGTATTTTTCGGTTTTTTCCCTTGTGGTTGCTCTGAAATATATCATCAGTACATCATTTAGTACATTACTATTATTTTCTTTCAATAAAGCAGTCATTTGTCACAAAACCTATTGAGACACCGACCATTTATCTTTAGAGGGATGAAGGGGTCATTGGTTCAAAAAATGTCTTAGAATCGTCGATTTTCTTATTTCCCTCTAACTTTAAATGTGGACAACCTAATGTTCTTTAGCTTCAGAAACATTTTTTCATGAAATTTGGAGAATTTATCAAAAAAAAAAAAAAAATAAAAAATAAAACCCATAACATAACGCAAAAGCCTGGTTTCTTACTTGGTGAGTGATGGTACCTACGCAATTGTTTTATAACGCAGAGATTAGTAAGATAACTAGATAACTACCGATTAAATTCACAAAACAGTGTGTGGACGCGCTCAGAATGACCCTGCCTGCAGTAATGATCAAATGTATATTTCTACCAGGGAAATGTACTATCCACATTGTGTGTACATGATTATTACGTGGCAGCACATTCAAAGTATGGACAAAACTGAGGAATGTGTGTGTTTTTAAAATGCGAGAAGTCGGTATATCAAAAAGACGAAAGTGATTATAGAAAATTAAATTCACATTCAAATTCTGAAAAACCTTTGGAAAAGTGGCAAAATCGAATAGCAATAAAACCGAAATCTATTGTAAATTCAAAACCAAATGAGTCTTAAAACCCTGACAAAATCAACCGCTTGACAATATCGACCAAAGGAACGCATTGAAATCAACTGTAATATTCATGACAAAACTCGTCAATTCAATTATCGGTAAATCGCCTTTATAGTAAATGTCAATTCCAGATCAACAGGCATTAGAAAATTGTATGTCAATTTCATTTTTCAAGAAAATGTCTAAGACAATTCAATTATAATCGTTCTTGGTAAATTTATTATCCTGTCAATTGAATTTATATATAATAAATATTCATCTTCCATTCAACAAATACTGTACATTTAAAATCAAATTATTTATCAAATTAACAAGATCCTCTGTTCCTCTTAGCATGAATGATCAGTTCCTCAGAAATTGTTATATCAAGCCGTTGATTTAGTGAGGTTCATGTTGGACAGTCTTTAGTTTTCTGTGTTGTGATTTTATACTGTCTGTCATGGCAGTTTTGTTTTCAACTAGAATTAAGATTGGCATTTCCTTTGGAATCTTTCGCTCTTCTTTAACGTATTTATCATCGGGTTTTGTACATAGTTTTGTTAAATGAAGAATTTCTTATTTTATTTTTATCATTTGTAAATGCATAAAAGTATTTTATTCATAGTAATGCTTAATTGCGTTGATATATATCTGATATTTTTAGTGTCTTCGGTTTTATTTTTGATACTTACATTGCACAACATTTGTAGGTGGAGTTGGTCCAGCCTGATGACTATTGCTTAAATGACGAGGACGCTCAGGCCTAGCAGGAGGCGGCGGCAGCTTTAATTATACAAAATCAATATGAAAGGTTAAATCATTTGTTGGTCGATTTTATCATTTACGAAAAAGTGACAGGGTAAAATTGTTTAAGAAGAAGATGATGATGATGACGATGACGATGACCAAAAAATTAAAAAGCAAGTTAAATTAACCTATCATTTGTTTTGTTGTAAATGCTCTTACGCATTGTTGTAAATTAAGGTTAATATTTGCAGTCGTGAATGTTGCGATAAAACATCACGCTCATTCCTTGAAACACATATTTAATGTGTACCTACCGTTGGTTTGATAGCCTCCAGCCAAGCCCTGTAAGCAATAAAAGAGAAACAGAATATACAGTTTGATTGATTGATTGTTGATTGCTTAACGTCCAGTGGCTACACAGTTTGAGCACCAGATTCTATCTGGCATTTAGCATGTATATGCATCTTGCTACATGTATTCTAATGAAATTGTTTAATAATTTTCAAGTATAAGTTGTCAAAAATCGGCGTAAATCATATTAAATATTAAGTGTTGGTTTTCAACATCACCGAAGAGATACTGACTGCGCCGAGATGCGCATCTGGTACGGTAATTTTCACATTATACAGACTTTCCTAAAAGGGGTGTGATCCTTTTACAATACTGCTGCAATATAGTTTTGAGGGGGATTGCCTGAATTAGGCACTACATCTGTTTTACAGTTGCCATCCCTTATTGGTTGATCGATACGGTTTGTCTTTGGCTCAGCGCAGTGATTCCATGTTTTGAGATGATTTGATACCAGAATGTTCGTCTGATTTGTATTTCTCTCGCAATGCCCTCAGTTTGTGTCTGCTTAGTCAATTTATGAGATTTTAACATCAGTACGCTACCGTTGCATATATATATAATATAACAACCGATGATGACGTTAAATAATCAAAAATTAAATTGAAAATAAGTGATTTTATTTCAGAAAACCTTCCAATTCAAATGTATGCTAACATTAAAAATCTGATATTCCATGAAATTATTATACAATACATGTATTTTGTTTGCTTCATTTTATTACAAAAACTTGTAAACTACCAATTTACTTTAAATAATAATTTGTCATGATTATCATTGTAAAATTGTTGTATTTTGTGTGTATGCTCTTTGAGGGCCCATGATTGGAAAAAAATCTTGAATATTGAACCGTATACAAACAATGTTATGACCTTCGTGTTTGTCGTCTTAAAACATTTTCAGTTCCATGTTTAACAACTTGTTTTCTCTTTCTCAAAGTTGAAATGCTTTAGTTTCGTATATATTTCAAAACATTCACATCTTACAGGTGAACTAAGTTTCAGTTAATTTGATCGCAACTTAATGGGAAACTAACTTCAACAAAAATCGTAACCTGATACAAGAAAAACGAACGGACTGGCCGAAAACATAATGCTTCCTTATATCGTAGTCGGGCAACAAAACAAAACAAAATCAAGTATGTTCAATTATAGGTTATAGGTATGTTGATTTTTATGACAGTTGTTGTCTATTCGTTTGATGTGTATGAGCTTTTGATTTTGTCATTCGTTTTGAGTTTTCCTTGGAGTTCAGTGTTTTTGTGGTTTTACTTTTTACTTACATCATGTCCTCATCATCTGCAGTAAATAAGATCCAGTTCATTTTGATATATTCTTTTTTCGTTCCTTTTTTGAAGATGTCTGGAACACCCATTAAATGTATAACCTGTCTGCCTTTTGGAAGTTGAGGAAATCCAGCTGTATGAAGACACATTGGTCCAACTGCCATGAAATTAGCCACCATCTAAATAAAATGATTAAAGAATAAAACAGTTGATTGGTTAATCTGTGCTTGTCAAGTGGGAAAATATCATGCTTAAACAGCACCGAAAATGAGGGTCAGACAAAACTTATTTAAAAATAGAGAATAATGGGCAAATCGACACTATCGGGCAACAAAATAAAGAATTATGGAAAAAATAGAGAACACATAAATGCAGATCTCTGGACACAGATAAAAATGCTTCAAGACTATAAGAAAATGTGCAAATATACAATTTCGGATAAAAAAATAAAGAATATATACTAGTACATAGTTCATCATGAATAGAAACAAACAAATTCAGCATTCACACTTAACGCATGAAAGATTTTTCATAATACTAAACTAAAATACATTTTTACCCATGATACCACGGAAAGTATATGCAAGTTAGACAGACTCATTTGAGCACAGGTTTAAGTTAGTCTTCCGGAGTGTTTGAAAGGAGTTCGAATTTCCCATCTATGATTAACAAATTTTGATAATATAAGATGTTTGATAATAACGTGTTGTGGTATAATATCTTGTTATGGGTTTTGATTCTCATTTAATGAGTTAGTAAAATGAGGATATCCTTTACACGACGGGTGCCACATATGAAGCAGGATTTGCTTACCCTTCCGAACACCTGAGATCACCCACAGTTTTTGGTGAGGTTCGTGTTGCTTAATCTTTATTTTTCTATGTTGTGTGTTTGTCTTGTTGACTTGTTTTAGCCATGGAGTTGTCAATTTAGTTTCGATTTATGCGTTTGAATGTCCCTCTGGTATCTTTCGCCCTCTTTTACATCCGTATATTTGTATAGTTTGTCAATAACAAATTTGTAAGATAAAAACTATATTTCAAAATTTTCCGATTATATTTAGTTATGAAGGGTTTTATCAGCCTGATGGTGTTTATTTTCAGAAATCAGGCTGTAGTAATTTGAACTGTGAACTTCAACAGTTTCGGTTTTTCAACACTTTTGAATATTCGAGTTTAAACGTTACTTGTAAAGGTAAATCAAGGAAAGCGCTTTAGAATAACATTAATGAAGTGTTGTTTTCATTTTTTGAAGCCTTCAAAAATATTTTATTGCACCACTAGAATTAAATATCCCCATATATGCTACAACAAAGATGCTAAAATTACCTACCTCCCTGTGGTGTTAATTAAATATGAACACTGGGGATTTGATTGTCCAATTATATACTACAAAATGTAACTTCTGAATGTAAAAGGTTGTAATACACATATAAAACAATTAACAAATATACATACTGACATCCGAGACATACCAGAGACCGAGCGGTTATGATTCAATCAAGGACACCCATATGGCCTCTACGCATCTGAATAACGTTATTTTTAACACTTTTTAAAGGTTCAAAAGGTGATCTGACAAAACGTTCTATGTGTCTAATTCAAAATGAATACCTTGAGTTTAATACCACCTTTATGGTGGTAATAGTCGCGGTCCTGGTACCACAAGAGACTACTGTCGTCATATAACACAAAATATCGTGACTTCCATCCGTTGAAAAAGCAACCTTCTGTAGAAGTTAAAACAGCATATATGTTAAAGGAGCATCTGAACAGGCAATATGTATTTCTAATCCGTTATATTTGAATTGTTCCTCTTCTATTGCTATGATTAGACCTTTTATAATTTTCCTCCGACAAAGATTAATAAACTATACGAGGCTTTTTCGAATTTTTGGTTCTCAACGCTCTTCAACTTTGTGCTTTTTGTGGCGTTTAACTTAATGAATCGAGCATCAATAATGAGTGTTTTGTAGACAAACATAATAAAATATCAATGTAAAAAAAGATATCGTCATGTTTTTATTTTCTTTTAAGTACAACTGGTTGTTACGATTTTGTTTGTATCTTGACGGATGTCAAAAGTGAAGCAAGAACTGCTTAATCTTTAGAGCGAACAGTTTTGTTTGTCAATATGTTTGTCATGTGTGAAGTTTTTGTAGACTGATGTTTGTCCTTTTTTCTCCTTACCATTTCTTTGTTATGAGTAACAATGAGCGTGGCCTGTATCGCCCTCCATTGTGTATTTTCTTATTTTTTTGTAAATATTATGATTTTTAAAGATACAATGTGAATAAGTTTATAATATGACAACACTCTCCAACTTATAATGAACGAGTATTGTCATTTTGCTATTTGACTACCAATTCTCATTTATACCCTATAAAATCGATTTTCGTGGAACCTGCAAATCAATTGTGGACAGTTCAAACGTTATCGAAATTACAACTCCTAGTGTTAAACTAAATTGTATATACAAAATAATGCATTCTAATTCCATAGAAGAAGAATTTGATGTTTATACTTTACATACTAATGCTACAACCATGAAATTAAGATTAATATCTAACCCGAGGTTAAAGCTGGTTTTTTTTACACAAAAATTATTTAATTTTGAATGTCTTCTGATTGGCTGAAAGTCTTTTTGTTTTGAAAAACATTTTTGGGATTGTGTCTTCATAGACAGACAAAAATATTACAGTTATTCTTCAATAAAATATGATATTGAAGTGTCTTGCGATTGTTGTCAAACAAACGATTTTACGGAATCTAATGAAACATACATGAAATTTAATCATATGATATTAGTAAACGCACTGAATATATAAGTGGTGTTTTTCATGTGATATAGCAAAACTATAATAATTTCTAATTAAACCTACGTTCATAAATCGTTTAGTAACCAGTCTTCACTACTCATCATGTTGGCTCTATAATACAGTATACATAAATATATATCTAGGTTAGCAATATTCGATGGGTAAAGTAAAGAAGAAGAATTTGAAAATTGAAAATAAAGATCAAGTTAATTCATTCTACTTATTAAATGCTCTAAACATCGCAAAATGAGCTTTTCAGTTTTGTACATGTTGTACAGGGTAACAAAACGATCTGCAATTTATCAGAGGTACTGTAACATGTGTACAAACTAACCTAAAATATCCAAGACTTGTCAGTCGATGTGGGCTTTGTATTAAAATGACTAATCAGTTATTCTCAAACAATAAAATACAGTTTAAATGAACAATTAATGCAAAGATCTAGTTTTGTACCTCCGTATTGTAGTACTATGAAAGTAAAAATAAACATATATTACCTTTTGTTGCTATAATGTTATAAAAGTTTACTGAACAAATATTCGTTTAAAAGTTACACTTTTAATGAAAGCAAATGATAGAATTTACTTACAACTTGCCATGCAAGTATAGTACAAAGTGCGATAGCATGGTAATACAATTGTATAATGCTTTCGAAGTACTAAAAAGTCATTATAAATTTTCAATATTTGAAAGTTAAACATTGTTAAGGTACTTAAAAAGTTCATATGCATAAATAGCTGTGTACCACACACACACATGTATCGTATCATAAATTTTTAGAATTTAAAAGAAAACATAGAATTAAGTTCATCGTCACATATCACGTACTTACTCGAGTGTGCGAGGAACAATTTACTTAAAACTGTTTGCTGTTGTTAGGATTCGTAATGGAAAGCTACTGTCGGTATTTATTTTATTTGTTGTGGAGTTACGGCCAGGTAATTAACCATCAGATTTATGATTGCTGCCTGCTTTATGGACTGTCCATTTAGTCTATTTATCTCTATTCTGTAAACCCCATCCGCACCCTTTCTTAGTGGTTTGATTATTTAAATCGTGTAATATATATTTTGTAAACCTAATATTTTAGTGTATAATATTATATGTTTACTTTGACTGGCAAACCCAGTATTTGTTTTCAAGAACGTGCAATTCTTAAGGTTAATAACTAACTTTTGATGCGTATTGAATTTGGCCCACAGCAATCCATGTTGCTTTTTGTTTTATAAAATCCGGTGTATCAGTCAATCGATAAAAACTGTAAACAACAATTATCATGATCGTGAAGTACGTACATTACAAATACTAGTTTATGTGTAATAACACACAAATATTTCAAAATAAATTATCAAACCATCCCGTGTAATACATGTAGGTTTAAAGATAAAATTCCAAAAATCACAAAATCTCATACCACATCTTAAAATTTATCCCTTCTATTGATTCGAAACAAAAGTGAGTATAAATAAGTTTTACATTTGACTGATAAGTTTAGATACATAAACACAACTGTATGTGATGTTTCATAATTGGAAAAGGATATCCATACAATAGTAAAGGAAAATAACCTTGAGCCTTATACCACCTTTGTGGTGCTCATCGTCGTTTCCATGGTACCACAAAAGACTGCTGTCGCCATATAACTTAAAATAACGGTCTTTCCATCCGTTGCAGAAAAATCCTCCTGTATAATACCAAAATATATAGATAAGACGGGCGTCTACAGAAACGAATTGAAAATGCTTTCTTTAGCATGTCTGCGCCATGTTTTTGTTATATTGTGATTCAACCTTTGCATATACGATTCTGATATCTTTCGTCAGTTACGGAACTTTTATTTGAGATGCAAAAAAACAAAAGGAAAAAGCATTACAATTTATTTTCAGTTTGAATATTCGAAATATATTATGTATATGTTTGCATTTTTGGTTATGCTTTTCTAATTGTGTAATCCTCTTAAACTAAAGGATTGTTTATAGGGATGGCTCAACATGACGCTGATAAAATGGTTGGATGCATAAACACCGATTCAAGTACTTATAACAAAACAGTTATGAAACATTCATGAAATAATAAAAACAAAAACAATCACCGTTTAAAAAAAACTATAAAGACTTAAGGCCATTGGATCAACAAAAAATTGGGAGGTTGATCTCAGATGCTCCGGGATGGTCAACAGATAGTGAAAATCATCATAATCTTATAACGATATGTGAAACTAAAGTGAAAAACAAATTTCAAGACATAGGATAAACAAGAATTATATCGGTAGATATTAAACACACAATTTTAAGCAAGGCGGCCCAAAACAACACCGGAAACTTAAACAAAACCTAAAAGAACCCCTTTAAAACAAAACTATGACCCATCTCAGATACTTTGAAAGGGTATCTTTTAGTCAAATTTATTTATGTAATCTAAAATGTATGAAGATAGATGTAAAACTGGAGCAAACACTGCTTACCTTTTCGATGATGTTTTTTATGTGAGGTTTTGTTAAATATTGTGTTTCTCTGTACTGTTGAAATTAATTGATTTGAGCGTCACTGATGAGTCTTTAGTTGCATGACAAAACGCACGTGTGGCTCTCAATTAAAACTGGTATCTATGATGAGTTCATTGTGAACTTAAATTTGTAATGTTGTCCCTTTTGGTTTAATGTTTTTTATTGCTCCTTGGTTTCGTCTTACTCTTTTGTTATCATCATGTATTGTTTAAATACAAGTTTACAATTATACGTTTATGATCTACTCAAAATTGAGCAAGAAAATGAGGTTTAATGTTTGACCACTTATTTTCTCAGTATGACTGATTGAGTTTCAATTGACTAGTGTTCATTTAATTCACAAGACATCGATCTCCAAGGAAAGGAGTAGGGTGCTATAAAGACTCATATTATCCTTAATGTCCTAAAATTTTAAAGTCTTCTTGTTACTATGTGAATGACTTATTTTTTTAGTTCAACATATCTACTTTCAGGACGGAAAACATTTTGAGTAATATGACGTCATAATGCAGTGTTTTGACGTCACTTCACGTACACAGTAGTTGACTTTCTAAATTTTAACTAATTTTCACTCAATTGTGGACAGTTAAAATGAAACCCCATGGCATGATATTTAATCATATTATTAATCTTCAATGACATTGTTCAACGGTTTGTAAACGTTGTCAGTTCGCGTAACATTAACTACTTATTTAACATACGCTCATAAATAGTTAGGTAACCAGTCTTCATTACTCTACTTGTTGGCTCTATAATAAAAAAATATAAGTTATAGGTTAGCAATTTTCGTATCTTGTTTGTACCATTTACCACCCACCATCTCTTTTCCTTGAATATTATGTCATTGAATGAAACTCTTCACAGAATTTGTACTTACATGAACAAGAGTGGAGTAGGTACCCTTCTGGGCGACATGACACCACCCGCGGTTTTTGGTGGGGTTTATGTTGCTCAGTGTGTTGTTGTCCATGTCGTGTTTTGAAGACTTTTGTTTTGTCATTTCGTCGTCGAGTTACGTTTTTGCCATGGCGTTGTCAGTTTGCCTTCGATTTGTGAGATGAAAAATCTCTTTGATATCTCCCGCTTTTCTTTGATTTATGTGCTAACAACAGCGTAAACATCCGGTTTTCGATTTTTTATTGGCATGTTTGGATAGTTGGTTGTTACTATTGTTTTTCTTTCGCCACATGGCTTGACTTTTCCTCCCATTTTATTCATGGTGACAGTTCAACATACGGCATTTCAAATTTATTATCTAATTTTCTGTCCCTATCCAATATACCCTCATTTTCCAGTGGCAGTCCTAATTTTCCGTTCTGTATTCGGATTGACCCCAATTAAAAGACCTACCTATTTATTGATAATTTGTTTTTTTTTGGAGTCATGAACATGTTTTTTTTACCTTCAAGTTGATGAAGTTTGAAGCCGATTGTCCACATAATGTAAAAGCTATGATATCAATTTAAAAAATCAGATATCACGTCAGTTCTCGTTAGAGTCAGTGTTATTTTTTTACAAAATATAATATACTCGTTCCCATAAAGTAATTTGTATCTACGTTGGTAGTTTTATGAAGCAAAATTGCACAAATTATTTTTCTCTGTCTATAAGTTAAGCATGAGGAATAGACATATTTAGGGTAGAAAAGGCAATTTTTGAATCCATCTTAACTCTAATATATAATATATATATATTATATTATACACGTTGTACATTTTATATCTTTTGATCCTTAACTTTTGTTTTACATTGCCTCCCACCTCCCTATTCAGAAGTATGTCCCTCCGCCAATTATAATAATTTATATGGATGAAGTAACAGAGTTGAATGTACAACCGAAATTATAAGGCGGTGCATATAGTCTAATGTGTCGTGATAACAGGGTGATATTTCCGACAGAGTAATTTTTCACCGATCCTCAACGATTAATTAAATGCACTCTATAACATTTCGTGTTTTGTATTTACGGTTTATTGTTTATTGTGTATAATCGTTACATGATTCTTCGTTTATTAAATGTATTATTTCAATACGTAACTTTTTAAATATCTTGTAAATATTCCTAAAAGAAATGATATTTATTTAAGAATTGAATGCTTCTTTTTGTAAAATTATTGGGGTGCAAAAGCGTTGACCGAAGTACATTTTGTATGAAGCGCGGAAGCGCTTCATTCTAAAAATGTGCGCACGATCCCTATAAAATTACTAAAAGAAGCTTTCAATACTTATAATTACATTTTTTTGCTGAGATCATAAAAACACGATTTCTATCAAGTGAATCTTTTATTTACATGTGCACTTTATTGTGGAAGCTCGTGTCAGCATTCAATGTTACATTTCATTTTGAAATGAAGGTGAATTTCAGAATGACGCGAGATTGCTGTTACCCAATCAAAATAACGTATTATAATGGAACATACATGTAATGTAATTATTCACACAACTGTTGCAAATATATTATTTTAATTACAACTAAATCGGGAAAGAGTTTGATTGTCACATACATCACAAAATACGAATGTTCCACATAATGATGAGTGGATTATTTTCGAACATTGGTTTTTCATATATTTAAGGTATTTGTATACTCCGATTGTAGTCCGGACTTTTGTTTTAGACATATGTAGTTCTAAAAGTTAATATTGAATTTACCTTTAATGCTCATTGGAGTTGGATCACAACACTCCATGGCTTGTGTATAAAATCAAGTGTAGCAAACGAGCATTAAATGAATTGTAAACACCAATTAGGAAGAACATATAAAATAAAATGCGTATTAAATAAGCCACAAGTATTTAAGCACAAAATAAGAGACGATCACGTGTTCGTTGAAAAACGTATAACAAAAATATGGAACTCTTAGGGGAATTCAAAAAGGGGAAGTCCATAAAAACTGACAAAATCAAATGTTGTCAATCAACAGACGAGTGAAAAACAACGGTTATATTTTTGATAAGGTACAGGCATTTTCCAAAGAAAATGAAAATATATTTCAAAAATGTTAAAAATAGGATACCAGAAAAGAAGAATGAACGAATTAAATGATAATTACTCAACACGAGAGGATTTTAACATAGTCGAGTAGAGATAGGGAATAATATCGAATAGAGGAAGTATACACATTTATAGTCAACAATAATCATGACGTACATTTAAAATAAATTGCGTATTAAATAAGACACAATAAATTCCAAACAAATTATGATACAATGACGTGTTAGTTAAAATATATATTTCAAAATATTGAAATTTGATAATAAAAACAAAATAATGAAAGGATTACTAATCAATATGACAGAATTTTAACATGTTCGAGTAGAATAGTATCGACTGTAAGGAGTGTACACAATTATAATAAACAACAATCATGAATTACATTAAAAATAAGGTGCGTATCAAATAAGACACAATTATGAAACACAAAATATGATAAGATAATATGTTAGTTAAAAATATATATTTCAAAATACCAAAATCTGATGATAAAACAAAATATTGAAATTTGATAATAAAAACAAAATGATGAAAGGATAACTGATCAATATGACAGAATTTTAACATGGTCGAGTAGAAATAGTGAATATTATCGACTATAAAGAGTGTACACAATTATAATAAACGACAATCATGAATAACATTACAAATAAAGTACTTATCAAATAAGACACAAGTATTTAAACACAAAATATGATACGATGACGTATTAGTTAAATTTTTTTTTCTTCAATTTATTATTATTAAGGCAACATGATTTAGCAATATTGATTGATAGAGGTAATCCAAAAACTGTAAACAAAAATGTCATCAACACAACTACACGGCACCAATCTCGTGATCGTATATTGAAGAATGCGTTGTGTATATACCAGTCTTGGGACAAAATTTCCCTCGCCTAGCGGCTCGAGAAATTTCACAGTCCCTTGACTGGTATTTTTCGTAAATACCCCTCCATAACATGATATATCTGTTCAAAAACCTACTGAATAAAAAATATCGAGGGATGATTATTTAAAAAAAGTTAATGAGCAATTTAATTAACATGATTAGTCAAAGGCTATCAATAGGATAATGTCATAGTACATTTCATCAGCATTGACAGTTGAATACAAAGATCTTCATCCCGTAGATCATTTAAGCAAAAGATTTCATTTTTGACATTCTACAACTGAAATTATGCTGGAATTTTTGGTTGCAACTGGTGGTCAAAACTGTATGGTATAATTCAATAAATTAGAATTTTGAGTTGTTAAGAAACACAATTAATCTTTTGAACGTCTGCAGTTTCCGAAAAAATATATTTGAAGAAGTCTGTTTAAAAGTATAAAATGTGCATAAAAATCATTTATTTTCCATTAACATGATTAAACTATCATTTCATATTTCCATGTAACAAGTAAATAAATACATATTTTAGATTGTGTAACGTATGTTTATGCAAAAAACACGCAATATCATCATTATAAATCGATGATGAAGGAAACATTTATCAAAATTCCAGAAGAACTGGTTCACTTTACAGTTCCTTTGACACAGCTGTATGTAAACAACATGATGAATTTACAAGTAACTATATTTAGTATCTGCATGGTGTTGACTCTAATGCTACATGATGAAGTGAAAGCTGAATCATGCACTACACTTGGTAAGTGTTGATATTTACAGCAAAATCAAGCAATCTTATCCAATTATCTTGAAATTGTTAAGATTGGTTTTAATTCATCTTTAGTAGTACAATGTAGTACTAGTTATTGTTGAAACTAAAATCGATAGTGTGTTAACCGTATAGATAAAATCACCTGGATCAAGATGTTTACTGTTAATTAAAAAAAAAAAAAAACTATGTTTGCATTTATCATCTAACAATGGAAACAAATAAAAATTAATTATTGCAATTTCAAGAAATGCTGCATACAAAACATAAAGTACCAATCTTTATTTTTGCAGTAATAAAAATATCGTAAAATTTTCTGAATTTACAGCACTTTCGATATGGACATGGCTTACTAAAATTCAGAAATTATTATAAAAAAGTTCTAACTCCATGGAGCAGATTTTAGCAAAGATGGATTCGGATAGTCTTTTGAGATACCTCTTAGTTTGAATATTTCTTCTTTCAAAGATATACTCTTGGCTTAAATTGTTTTTGTTTGAGAGTCCTTGATTAAGATAAATCGAGAAAAGCGCTTCGGACCAATGAGCAAGGTAAAATGTAAACAACTACATGTCATTGTGAGGCCTTTAGAAATGAACAATGTTTTGTAATAAGTTAAAATAAGAAGAATCTATTTGATAAGACTTGATATAACTTGCACCAAAGCGACCAATAAAAAAAAAATGAAAAAATATGTATGAATGATTAGGTTATATTATTGAACACTATAGGTTGCATTTCTGTAAATATGGACAATGCAATTTCCCATAGGAACTCCTTTTACGGCTAAAACTGTACAACTTTTACTATGAAGTTTTGAAAAAAAATTATATCCTAGAATGGAAAGATCATATGCACTACTATTTTTTTCAAAGGTCAAAATATAGGGCTGTGCGGCATATTTTCAACGTTTATATGCCCCGAACTTCTAAGAGTTTAAACTAACACTAAATTTCTTAACTACACCTACCTTGACTGTAGGATTACCACAGATTTCAATATAAACAATATGCATATGTATATTTACTGGTAACATTCCCAAGTTATGTCTCTAAGAGATGAAACATAGAACTCATAACTGGGAACCAGTACGTAAACAAAATAATTATCTATGAATATTCTATACCTCGCCAAAAGAGGTGTGGTTTGAGAAATAGCTGTATTTACAAAGTGCAACCTATACAAACATTTATTCAAATAGAAAACTCTCAAAAACACTTTTTCTCACATTAATACTTATTTATCAGAATTACAGCCTTAAAGAAATCACTGCATACACTCTAAGTTTTCTTTTACTGCACATTGTATACCCCCTCCCCTGTTTCAGTTTTTTAAAGAATTTGAAAACAAGTCTTTAATTATTGCCAGCTTACCCTATTTGCATGTTTTCTGACATGAAATGCCTAGAACCTGTTTAAAACTGTTCTGATAACAAATTGAAAGCATTTCAGAATACTGTAAATGTAATGTTTAGCAGTCAATCATTCCAACATTCAAGATTATATAAATTATCCAATCCTGCTTCTGTCTCCAGTCCACATCTTACTGTATGCCTATTTATCAATGAAAGTTCATAATTTCTGCCTCAAGTAGTCAGTTTAGAATTCTTGTCTCAACGGTATCATCTCTAAGTATATATCTGACATAATTTAGCTAATATATGAACTAGAAGTGTTAAAATAAATCCATATTTGCAATAGTTGTATGTATGCAGATACCAGTCTGATGTATAAATTCACTTAAAGTTTTATAGAAATGACTGCTAACATCGGATTTTTGCATAACTTCCAAGCACAGTTATTGTTTTCTATATAAAAACCTTTACAATTATAAAATCATAGCATTTACAAGTTAAATTATTTGTTTTATGACCCAGGGGGTAGGCAATTTTCTCTGTTTTTTGCCCCTGGGGCCTCAAATTTCCTAAATTATTCTGCTGTTTCTAGCAATATGGGGTATTTAGTACATATTCAGGATAGAACAAACTATTGTAAGTTTTTTTGAGATATTTTAGTATTTCTAGCTTGTATTTTTTATGCCGCGGTGACAAAAAAGCAGATTTAGGTGTTACGGCTTACTTTTGGGTTATCGACAGGACAAAAACACCCCACCAATAATATTCAGGAAGGATCTATGAGTTTCAATGACTGCGAAGAGTAAAAATAAGCACTTCTAAACAATTTCACTTACAATTATGCATATTTTATGAATTTATTTTGCATTCAGGGCTATAAGTAAACTATGCATACTGTAAACTGTGAATTTATGCTGAGTCATCATAGTTAAGGCCCAGGATTTTCTCAATCTTCATGAAATATTTATAAAACGTCATATTTGAGTTAATTTTATTAAAATCTGTGAGATAAACCAAACTTGGTTAAATTCTGTATGTTCTTTTTTTTCACCCAATATAGGTTGCATTTCTGTAAATATGGACAATGCAATTTCCCATAGGAACTCCTTTTACGGCTAAAACTGTACCACTTTTACTATGAAGTTTTGAAAAAAATTATATCCTAGAATGGAAAGATCATATGCACTACTTTTTTTTTCAAAGGTCAAAATATAGGGCTGTGCGGCATATTTTCAACGTTTATATGCCCCGAACTTCTAAGAGTTTAAACTAACACTAAATTCTTAACTACACCTACCTTGACTGTAGGATTACCACAGATTTCAATATAAACAATATGCATATGTATATTTACTGGTAACATTCCCAAGTTATGTCTCTAAGAGATGAAACATAGAGATCATAACTGGGAACCAGTACGTAAACAAAATTAATTATCTATGAATATTCTATACCTCCCCAAAAGAGGTGTGGTTTGAGAAATAGCTGTATTTACACAGTGCAACCTATAATGAAAAACTACAAACTTATCACATTATGAATTATTTTGAGCCGAAAGTGAAGACATACCCTTAAAAAATTACTTATGTACTGTGTCATTGGTCGATATATCATATTTACAATACTGTTTACCAAAGAATTTTCAAAATCTTACTAATTACTAAATTCATTCAATTAAAGGGTAATATCATTTATAATATACAACCAAATGCAACGGCTTAGTATGCTTATTAAAAAAATAAAGAAAAAAACATCCTGGGGAAAACGATGCATGCTTTAATTATTATATTTTTTGTCATTGTCTTGTAGTTAACGTTATATATATATATATATATATATTTATATATATATATATGTTCATATCCGGATAAAGCTAGCCAACCTTAAGCTACAGTGAAAGTTTCTGGTCAATTCAAATCTAAATTCAAGGTTTTACCCACCATTTTCTTCGGAAAATGCATTTATCAGGTCTGAAATATGACAGTGTTTTCTACTCTTTCCGTTGGTTTACAACGTTAGATTTGCTAGTCTTTAAGGACTTCTCCTTTCAAGATTTTGCCTTCAGTTTTGTGTTTTTATTAGACTTTTTTAAATATGTTTTATGAAGTTGTGATATGACGATAATGTTTTAAATCTTGTGGAGAGTTGTCTCATTGGCAATCAAACCACATCTTCTTATCTTTATATTGGCAACATTTTACATAGACATATGAATAGGATGGTTAGTTCTATTTACAAAAAAAAAAAAAAAAATGCAATGCTGAGGAAAAAGCATGTGGAAAGTATGTCATATAAAACAGAAAACAAATAATAAATGGCAAAATCTAGTGGTCACTGAATGGTAATCAGCTATCAACTCAACAATTTATTAAAATTGGAGTTGGGGAGATTGCTATCTATACTAAGGAAAATGATATAGACACTGTTATCTATACTAAGGAAAATGTTATATACAGAACATGGAAATATACGGAAATTCAAAATTTCAAAATGGCAAAATCTTAAAACAACTCCATAACGGAAGGTACACACCCACCCGCATGTCCTACATCACAAGAATATAAACTGATTTTGAACTCCATCCAATCAAGCCCAAAACAACAAAATGCTGTGGAGGGTGGTATTATATCTTCAACATAACTCAAGTGTATTTGTCTCTCATTTTCAGAAAGGAAGATAGTTCACAACTTACGGAATATGATGATTCCCATTAAATGTGGATCTCAAACAATGGGTAAATAGTACATGTTTCACATACTTTTATTTAAATTAATTCTGAATGAGAGTCAACGCTAAGAACATAACGTCAGTATTATTTTTCAAATTATCAGAAGGAGCTTCAAAGACATTAAGGTTTAGTTTAATCAATTAATATATGTATATTATTGCAGATGACTTCTATCTATCACTCCGACATGAAGTGCATGGACAGGGAGTTCCTTGATTCCCAAATATCTATTCTTCTCCCTTTCCCGCCCAATACTCTCCCTTGACAAAAATCTATCAAATAGCTTACCAGAATACATATATTTTTATTCCCCATCTTCCCCATTTCCCACCCCTGACTCCCGCTTTCTTTCCGACCTTCATTATAAGGTTTCCTTATCACTGTCCACCACTCCTTCATGTATGGTAGCTACAGTGATTTGAAATAAAAACAAGGTGCCACAGAATGACCACAATACACTCTGGATTTTTGTTCCATTTTTTGGCAAAAGTGCATGGGTGGCATCCTGAAATGAAATTAGTTTTCTTGAGACATGGACATTATTTTAAATAACACTATCTTCTATCAAACATATTTTTGTATTTTTATGAAATATTGTTTTGAACCCTTTTGGATTTACCTCTCTTAATTTGTTTCAGGATTTGATCATTGATATTTGATGTGATCTTTGTTTATATATGATTGAAAGATATCCAAATCTTTTGTGGTTTTTTATTATTCTATTAATTTTCAAGTAAAACATTTATCTGAACAGAACGGTTGGTTTAGCGTACGAAAATAATGGTGTTTTTTTTAGAAATTAAAGCTTTTCCTACTTATTTTTGTCAAGTTTGAATGTTTATGATAAATCAAATGTGATATGGGTTACACTTAAATTTTACAGCAACAATGACAAAAATAATCAAATGATCGAGAGCAACATACAGTGTTCAATAATTAAATATTCAGAAGTATATACATTATATATGTCAAGCTCTTTATCACCAACAGTCATTGTGAAATATTAAACTGTGGCAATCACATCACAGATTTTACAAAATAGTTGTAACTGTTCTCAATTTCACGAAATTTCATTGTTATTTGCATTTATTCGTCTCGTTTCCAATTACCACTTAAAGCAACTTCTATTTCTAGTAACCAATGCATAAAATGCTTTTGAACAGGGCTAGTACTGTCAGAGCACATAATTTTATTCATAGAAGTTAAAGTTTTTTCAATTAAAACTTTATTCCATATTTCAAAATTAACAACAATTTTAATTATTCATAGGTGTAAGTGATGAAAAAGACAGGCCAGCTTTTACAGCAACACTGAAAAGTCATTTAAGTCTTTCTAATGGTGCTGCAATTACATTTGACACAGTAATTTTGAACCGTGGTGGAGGATATAATCCGAAGACAGGAATATTTACAGCAAAAAAGAAAGGATTATATCAAATCTCTGCGACAGTCATGTTACGTGATGGAATTTTTTACATTACTAAAAATGAAATTAAAATCTTGAGCTTGTATGGTCCAAGTCTCCATGGCGCATCTGAAACTGCAAACCCTGTGCTAGAACTTGAAAAAGGAGATAATGTTTCTGTGAAAAGCTATGGTTCACAAAAAATAAATGGTGATTATTATTCCTATTTTTCAGCAGTATATATATCTGAGTGATATATTTTAAGGAATACAAATTAAATAAAGAAATAAAGAAATACAATTTTTTTTTGTTATGACAAAATTACTACTATCAATTGCATATTGATTGCTAAATCATTATTTTTGTTGTTGAGACTATTCCACTTGTCATTGAACAATGTTGAAGTTTGCTGACAGTAAGGATTTTCCATTTTTCTGAAAAGAAAACTAATAACACATGTAGTTCCAGATCATTTTTGAATTCGAGTTGCTTTTAACACTTTTGAATGATAATCCCAATACATGATTAAATTAATAAAAATAATACTATAATAAATTATTGAAATAGAAAAGGAATTCGACAGAACCACGTTGTTAAAATAAAACAAGTGTGCCTAAACTCACACGTGTAATAGATCTATAACCAAAATTCTGTAACTATTCTAGTCATTGGTGCAAAGAATTATTCTAAAGGAGGGACAATCAATTTTAATACCCATCTCTAGAATCAAATGAAGCTCCCTTCGAATGTTCTTTTCTTACTGTGTCTTATATTTGGTTGTATATTTATTTTTAATCTTTTGACTTCAATGTACTTTTAACTATATGCAGAGGCAGATCCAGGGTTAAAACAAAAGGGAGCTTAAGTGACTATAATGGTATTTAATTACGATGTGATAAAAAAATCATAGATATACCCTTTCCATGACCACTAAATCCCAGGCTGATTTTGGTATCAAGCATTAACGTAGTGATGAGTCACGAATCGTCCAAATGAGCATATGATAAAAGTTATATTTCAGTCTGTGTATCTACTCCAACTAGTTGCCAATCTTTTATTTCTTCAGTATAGTCACTTTCATGTGACATTTTATAACACGTGTTGCCATTCACAACATATATTGTTTTTTTTTGTTTTGTCAGATCTTTTAAAACGTAAGTTTTTTTTATTCTTCGTGCAAATATATTTCGTTCATTTTACAAATCTTCACCCCCACTCCTAGAGGTAAATGTTTTCTTCCTTATCATATTGAATAGGACATAGAACTATCAATGTACTAGTTAATTTCAGTAAATGAAATCCATATCAAACACACGTATGGTACTTGTATTCATATATCAATGTGATTGCATTTGCTCACCCAATGATTTCCTTCATCGCCTTTAGAAAACGTGTCTAGAGAGATAAACAAACGGGATTGAAAAGAATATCACACTGGCTAAGACTTTTTGGAACCATTGTTTTTTTTTCAGATGCAACCTGCGCATATAAAACTGTTCAGAAATAAACTCCCATTTAATTACGAACTTCCAGTACTCTTTTTTTGCCAACTGTTAAATCATATGCAGTGACCTTAAAGGGAAATCACACTATTTATACTACTAATAATATTTCATTGAAATTTTACATGTAAACAGATCATACTTATTAAGATATTTTGGGCGAAAAAAAAATTGGGGTCACCGATGTTGTTTACGAGATATGCCATCATCAAAACTTAAAGAATCGCGTTATAACGAAATATAGAGATACCGCTATAAATTGTTAAAAAAAGACAAACTTATTGAAAAACCATGTTTAACTGGAATAACAAAAACAGTCAAATGTAACTTGTACCTTATGAACTTTTATTTGTCTCGGTTTCCTTATTTTTGAAGGCCTTTGAATATTTCCCGCCATTTTTAATTGCTATTTATAATAAATTTTTCTTGAAATAAAAAAAATCTACTAATGTTTTTCCCTTCAAACTTCTGCATAAGTTGCAGCTTCAGGGAAGACTTTAAAAGCATAAATAAAAAAGGGGGGTCACCGATGTTTTAAATCCGCTAAAACGGAAATAATCTTTATTATTGAATTTTGGCGGGAACTATAACCTTTTAACGCTATAGAACGACGTTGCTGGCATAACAGCATTTCTTGCAACGCTTGGGTTGAATTAAACCTTTTCACTACAAAATATAATATCATTTTTGAACATTTTTTAAGGTATTTTGATTAGTCATTGATATCTTTATCAATCTATCGAATCGTTAAACATAGATACAATAAGAGTTTATTATAAAGTAATTGTCAAAGTTGAAGTCATCTCATTTTTTTAATTGCCGCGATTTGTTGTATGGAAAAACGAATGTTTGCCTCATGCCGTATTATAGAAATAATTTTCGGCTTCCAGATAAAGAATCTTCTACCTCGGAAGACTGAGGGTATCCGGGCTGAAAAGTAACACGTTCCTTTCAGACTGCAGGCAGAATAATTTCGTTACCATAATTTCACTAGCTTGTCTATTCGCACCGGGAAGATAAAACCTGAAATGCCGTGTTAAAAATGCCACAAACTCAGCACGTTAAAAGAAACCTATTTTCGGTATGAATTTAAAATTGGTTCCGTAATTACACAACGCTTCATAATTTATTCGAACTGTGGAAACCAAATTTTTTTCTGAGTTCTATCATCCCACACCCATTTTTCATACATCGTTTCATGTTCATTGTACATAATATGTTCAATGTTCATCGCCTGTGTATTAAGAAACTGTATGTATTACGTATATTTTATTACCGTTCGATTAATCGCTCAACGTTGGTATGTTATGAGAAATACAATGCATCTGATAATTTAGAGTTAATTGACAATAAAATACACATCGCCATATTGAAATCAGTAACATATAATGTTCCCAGTTGATATGTATTTAAAAAAATCTTTTAATTTGCAATAAACGGATCGAGTTTTTTTTCTTGTTCTGCTACATCTATCCGTGTTTCTGTGGACATGTCGATATATTTTATCTAACTCGAGCTTTAGTCGAAAAAGCGAGACATAGCGATCCTACATTCCGTCGTCGTCGTCGGCGGCGGCGGCGGCGGCGGCCACAAATATTCACTCTGTGGTTAAAGTTTTTGAAGTTTTAATAACTTTCTTAAACTATCCTGGATTTCTAACAAACTTGGACAGAAGCTTGTTTATGATCATAAGATAGTATCCAGAAGTAAATTTTGTAAAAATAAAATTCCTGTAAACTATCATGGATTTGTACCAAACTTGGTCAGAAGCTTGTTCATGATGATAAGATAGTATCCAGAAGTAAATTTTGCAAAAAAAAAATCTATTTTTCCGTATTTTACTTATAAATTGACTTAGTTTTTCTGCCAGGAAACAATACATTCACTCTGTGGTTAAAGTTTTTTAAGATTTCAATAACTTTCTTAAACTATCCTGGATATGTACCAAACTTGGACAGAAGCTTGTTTATGATCGAAAGCTTGTATCTCGAAGGAAATTTTGTCAAAATTTTGTACCTGTTTATCCGTATTTTACTTATAAATGGACTTAGTTTTTCTTGCAGTTAACATTACATACAGTATGCAGTTAAAGTTTTTAAAACATTTATTAGATCCATAAACTATCCTAGATTTATACCAAACTTGGACAGAAGCTTCTTACAATCAAAAGATAGTATCGAGAGGAATATTTTTATTGATCTTTTTCCTCATTTTTGTTGAGCCTGCGATTAACAGCAAAAGTAGGGGAGACACTGGGTTCCGTGGAACCCTTACGAATTTTTTTATCAGATGACAAATGAGAGTGTGGATAACGTTTGATGTAGAATAAGAGTTCGAGTTCCAGCTAAATTTAGAATTAAAGTTCCAGTTTGATTTTTTGTTCGAATGTTAATTCGAGTAAGAGTTCTATTTAAAGCTCGAGTTCCATTTAGAAACTTCCGAGTTATACTGTAATATAGAATAAATTCTGGTAAGAGTTAAAATTTTGAGATCTGAGATCCGATGAAATTAAAAGAAAAATGGCAGTTTCTATTTTCTGGTGGTGCACCTCTCTTTCTTGAATTGTATATTCTTTTATCACATTTATGTTTCAGTATGGTATAGCCTATATACTTTTTTTGCCAAAACTGATTAATGATAGGTAATTTGAAAATAACTGATTGATTGTGTGTGCCACTTTCAGCACTCTGCTATATCATGTTGGCCTTTTTTTTTTTAAAGAACCAAGATATCAAGAGTAAATCAGCTACCTTTGTATTAAACAAATGGTCGTCCTTTACAGTCATGATCGGAATCTGACAATCTCCCTATATCACTGTTTGTTGACATGCAAGTGATCACATTGACTGATCTGAACACGAACCTACATCTGAACTACTAGTTTTTGTTTTGTTTTTGTTTTCGTTTCTTGATTTTTGCAAAACTTTCAGTGGCAAATATTACATGAATATCAGCACAAAATTTTTTTCTATATGAGATGAATGCTCTTTCACAAGACGGACCTTAATGTGATGGTTACAGATTAGCACTCTGAAAGACATGTTACTCTACATAAATACATGTGTGTGTGTTAAATATTTCTCTTGTTGGAGTCTTGTAAAGCCAAATATACAATGTGGATTTTTTGTTGTTGTTGTAGGCAGTACGGTCATCAATAGTACAAAAATAACTAGGCATAGTGTTTGATATACCCAGATTGCTCTGACGTCTAGCGGCCTTATTTTTTAACTTGCTGGTCGTACAGTTCGCTATAATTGACAGTTTGAAGAAATACTACAAAATATGATTTTTTTTTTGTGCCCAAATTATTTAAGCCTGTACAAAGCATTAAAGGAAGATTGAGTATTATGTACTATATAATACGGTGCTAAATTTTCTTTGATTTCGACAGCCAGCAACCGATGTAAAATTGTGTATGCTTCTTTTACAGTGATGTTTAACTGGCGTTATTCTTAAATAACGTTTGATATTTCTAATGACAGGACAATTGCCCGTATGGACCGGATGAGATATAAATAGTCAGAACTTTTTTGTTATTTGATAGATTATTTTAATATTTGAAGACCTTAGAAATATAAGACTTTATTTTATGAAAATCTAACAAAAAAAAGTTGACCGGACGGATTTCACACTCACTGATGTACGCTTTACAATATTAAACTGATCGACAAAAAGTGTTACTAGTAATATCTCTTTTGTTTTACAATATTTTTTTATACAACTAAGAAATCTGCGAGATTAATAGTTATCTTATATGAAAATTTAAACTACATAGTAAAACAAA